AAAAAGAAAAAAAAAGAAAGATCGTACCGATGCGTGCCACTGTGAAGACGGGGTCCGGCCGTCCACGACCACGGTCGGCGCCGAGAAGATCTTGTCGTACAACTCCGGGTTGAACCCGGAATCACCCGAGAACCCCAGGATCAGTTCGTCCTTGTAATAAAGCAAAAATCCTGGAATATCAGGAAAAGAAATTTATTCTTTAATTACATAATTTGTATAAGGCCTATATATACATATACGATAATAATTTTGGGATATACGTGAATCTGGGCTGTCTTCCCCCATACAGACCTATGATTAGCTCCCGACCAGATTCTGAGACCGGTCATTCCGCCTGTCAATCTTCACCCTTCCACCCACGTGTTCTCAACATATACTCTGTCCAGACAGACGCATTTATACACAAGCCCACAAATTGCTACTCTCCAAGCAGAGGTTGTGGGGAATGATCGTTACCTTTTTTATATATGGCCGTTTTTTTTTGTCCTGATCCCCCCTCCGGGTTTTGTATTGTTACCTCCATGAAATGTGTCATGGAGGTTATATTTTCAGTTGCGTTTATCTGTCCGTCCGTCCGTCTGTCTGTTGGTCAACAAGATAACTCAAGAACGCCTGGATGGATGGGTTTCATACTTGGTGTGTTGGTAGGGTGTGACGAAAACTGGAAATGATGAGATTTTGGTCCCCCTAGTGGCTTCCCTTGGTACTGCAGCGCAACTTCCGGTTTTGATATCTCACGATCTGGACATGCTAGGGTCATGAAATTTTGATGGAAGGTAGCTCTCGTGCTTGGGAAGAAGTCATATGAGTTTGGGCCCCCTAGCGGCTTGTTATGGAACTGCAGGGCACTTTCTGGTGAAATGTTTAAAAGCCAATAAGTCCAGACAGGAACAACATATTTTCATTATTTTTGGTGTGTAGGTAGCTGAGAGAGAGATGTACATAATTAAATGTAAATTATGCAAATGAGGACTTAATTTGCATAATTAATGAGGAAATTCTATAATTACAGTGTTTTACATTATACTACGTTACATACATGTAATGTATGTAACCTATGGCAGGCGGACCTTCAACAGATACTAATTATGCAAATGATGACCTAATTTGCATAATTAATGCGAAAATTATATGATTTCGTAATGGTGAATGATGAGAATGTCTTCATTATTTTTGGTGTGTAGGTAGCTGAGAGAGAGATGTACATAATTAAATGTAAATTATGCAAATGAGGACTTAATTTGCATAATTAATGAGGAAATTCTATAATTACAGTGTTTTACATTATACTACTTACATACATGTAACCTATGGCAGGCGGAACTTCAACAGATACTAATTATGCAAATGATGACCTAATTTGCATAATTAATGTGAAAATTCTATGATTTCGTAATGGTGAATGATGAGAATGTCATACTTGGGACATCTGTAAATTAATCAAAAGTTAACATACATCACGATGCATATATCATGTTAATGCAGAGGTCATTTGAACAATTAAAGAAGAAATTTACATTTACATATCAAGATCATATTTCATGGAGGTATGAAATCTCGGAATTCTAGTTACAATTTAAAATCAAATGTACAAATAAAATCAAAATCAGAGGCTTTATACATCAACTCTAACAGTGCCCGTCGGTGGCTAATGGAGCTTCTCTGGCTAATGGATACTGTCTGGCCAATTTGATACTGTCTTTTTGCCTCCGAGAGGGATCTGCTTGGAGATTAACAAATTGCCCTATTGTGGTGACGAGTCTGTTTCATTTCAGATAAAACAGAATGATAAAGTCTCCATATACCGTAGCATGGTATGTCGTGCTGGCTCTCGACTGCCTGGAGTTTGAAATTCTTGACGTCATCAAGATAGATGGGGTCACCCTCGGGGTCACAGATCAGCCAATCAGCAGCGTCATCCTATAAACATTGATGGGGAGATACAATAATACTAATATGAAGATATTAGCTATTCAAAAGTGGTAAATGTATATCCAGGAATGCATACAAATAATTTGTGCAGCGTCATTTTGTCTTCAGCAAAATATATTGCACTGTGATCAAATGTAAGACATTACACTGGAAGGCTTTCAGCACCGAGGACAGCAATAAAGGGACGATTGGAACGGGCAATAAATCAATGACAAGATATTATTACTAATTGGATCGTCATATACCTCAAGTAAAGAATTCACATGCTTCCTTTAGCGTTCCAGCATTGGTACGGAAGTACTGAAAATGTAACGTTAACAGGAGTGGAAGGCGTTTAGCACCAAGGAACGTGGACATACAACTATATGCTATCATTTCCCATACCGTCGGTTTGGTAGGTGTGGACTTACAGGTTTCATCTGATATGCCATCTCGCTCAAACGATGGATTTTGAGGGGTTCCAGAACCTTCGGTCCGCAGAGGAGCTTGACTCTCGGCTTGCCGGCCAGCAGACGCCGCTGGGCGGTTCCTCCCAGCACCAGGGGCAGCTCTCCCGCGTGGTCACTGTGGTTGTGCGTCACGAACATCGCGTCTGGGAACTTCTCAGGAGCTGTGGAGAAACAAGATGATTGGTTCATTATAAAACAAGTTTGAACTGCAAGTTCCAATACAATAAATTGGACTTACCCAAATTTTCGACGGTACATTTCCAGTGTGCTTTGTCAGGGAATGAGAAATCCATCGCTTCCGTGACGTTCCCTCACAAAGACTGGAATTGTACAGTCGAAAATTTGGGTACGTTCAATTTCTTGTGTTGGAAATTGCAGTTCAAACTGTGTTACTTCTACCAACACAGATGAACTTGCAATATATGATTAGTTCATGTTGCAACTGGACTTTTTTGATACTGCTACAAATGGTAGAACTTATATTATTTCTCAGGATGTGTTAGGAAATGTTGAAATAAGTTGATTGGTTCATGTTGAAAACTTTTTTATACTACTAAAAATGGTAAAAGAAAACTACCTAAAATCACCCATTTGTTTCCAACGTTCAATCAAGAAGAGAAAAAGTCTGAAAAAGGCCTATCCTTTCCCGTTCAAAGTATGATGCCCCGGCACAGTGAGACAAGTAACGTTCTTTCAAAGCTGGTTGGCCGATAGGCGAGGGCACAACGGACAGCAAGAAACAAGACAGTATGGAGGACAATGACGGCCCACCTTGATGTTCTACATTCAATTTAACATGTGGCAATGATGATTACGATGACTTTCGAAAAGAAGGGCATCTAAAACATAGGCAAACATCAGATCCGGTGAAATCTATATAAGATTTAGAATGGAGAAATGTCCTCTTGAACAAGTGAAAAACCATCCTTACCTACGGAGTGCAGAAGGGACTGAGTGACTCCCAGCCCCACGTCCACCAGCAGTACAGGTCTGGAGTTGTGCAGAACCACCATAGAGGAGCTGGGTTCTCCCGTCAGAACGGCTGGTGGGAGGTTACACTCAGGGTAAGTTGTCTATATTCGGTAAACATGCTGTTTTTGCTACATTTCCTCTTCTTCGTCTTCTCCAAAAAGGTCAATGACCTGAACCATACTGTCTGTTACCATGGTACCCAGCTAGTGTTGGATTACATCATGTTGCAATTTCATAGCAGGAGGGATTTAGACTCCTGTCTGACCATATGAATGTGTTTGAGAGCAGGCCATATGCGAAGGAAACATTTGTTTTGCAAATGTTACATTTCTAGTTCTACATTACTTTGTGATGTCGAACATCCAAGCAGCTATATGCCTTCCACTACCGTGCCCTAGACACAGTGGACCATATCACATCACTGCCCCAACAGCCGTAAAAATGTATGAAACTGACTACCTACACCTAACTTTCATATACCTTATATAGTATCTAGATCTGTATCTGCACTAGTCAACTGGTTTTAAGTCCAATTACACACTTCACTATACAGTATATAAATCAGAAGGTTAGAATTATAGATAGAAAAATAGAAATGGAAGCAATGTACCTGTAGTACCCTTGCCGGTTCCGAGACAGAGTAGTTGGATGACGTCACATCCAGGAGTATTGTCCCCTCCCTGTTTCACATCTGTGTTTGCCTTAGTAGTCTTTGGTACGGTCTATAATAAAATGTGTTTATCATAGTAAAACCGTATGCAACATAAAGAAATACTCAGGCTAACAACGTTAACATTGATCCTACCTTGGCGCAAACTAGGGTGTATCTCTCGTGTTGCAGCCCCTTGGTGGAAGGCGTTCAGCACCAAGGACAGTTATCATGTACATGTACTGTACACGCTATCATTTCGCTATCATTAGGGCGTGGTGTACCAAAAACCTGCAGGATGTATCCGATACACCATCGCGCTCGATCAAATGATGGATTTTTAAGAGGTTCCAGAACTTTTGTAGCCTGGGTACTGCTATTTGTATTTGGAAAGAGTTTGACTTTCGGCTTGCCGGTCAGCAGATGTGCACATCTGGGTTTAGAACACCATGAAGTGGAATTCCGAAGTCTATTAGTGCTTCTCAGTAGAAGCCAATTACATTTCTACTTGGTTTAATTTTTTTTTATTCGTTTATCAAAGAAATGTACATACAGCGAAAAAACAGTGTGGCAAGCCCCCCTTAATACGAATATAATAATACACAGAATACATGTTTGAGGTGTGACATTTTACGAAGAATGTTTGTCTCGAATATCATGAAAACAATGCATTACAGAAATAAGGTTTGTTATTCGATGATGTACTCTTATAGATGTCATATTTTGCATAAAGTAAACAGTGATTCAGGTGTCTATTCTTTTCCAGCTTTTCAATTTTACCATACAATATATCGGTTTTCGTTAGTGCAATATGTTCAGAAAAAGTGCCGAGCCACCATAAGCGAATTGCAAAGTCATTCCAAAATTTAGTAACATAACAACAATCCACAAATAAGTGGCTTAGATCTTGTTTACTATCACAGAATGGACATTTGTCCGAGTCTATAACTCTAATTTTCTTTAAATAGCAATTTGTCGGCAAAAATCTACTTGGTTTAAATGTTGTAAAACTATTGTACGACAGAGTGCGTACCATGTCGGTGGGTGGCAGCAGAGGTTTGGCGCTCGGGTTGAGGAGCTGGGCCAGAGACGGGAGGTCCAGTTCCACGTGCAGAACAGACAGGCTTCCCCGCTCCTCCACACCACGCTGCCGGGCAGGCACTACTACAAAATGTCTTGTCTGTGAGAAAAATACAAACTTGTATCAGTTGTTTGATAGACTAAGCTGCCATATAGAAAAGCACGCAGAACTTTAGAGAGTAGATTAATACAGGAATAGAGCTTTATGTTGCTAAACATATAAATTTTAGCCTAATTTTAGTAGGTTATCATTACGATCTATATATATTTGTTGTTGATTGACAAAGTCGGCTGTTGGCTACTTGTAGGTATCTTACCCAATCCAACCAGAGGTTTGGTCTTCGGCTTTTTTGGCGTGTTTTAAGCGTTTTTATCGGGCTCGCTTTTTGTACTGGTATCTTTTTTTTACGCCAACCCAATTCAGGATGGCCAATGGTAAATGTCTAGTTTGATACTGACTTTGTAGCCACCCAAACGATCCGCTTGGAGATTATACATGTCTTGTGATTGTAAATGGCTTTCCACCTTGGAGTTTTCAGCAAACCGCTGGAGGGCGCTGCTGTACAGGGGCTGGTCAGGGTCGCAGCCGAGGAACAGGACGGAGCGCTCGTTAAACAGCTGTTCGAAGAACCGGGCTTCCTCCCCATCAGACCTGCACAGCTCTTCCATCCGCTGTTTGGTCGCCACCTGGAAAGGAAATCATCATCATCATCATGCCTCCGGATAATCGGCAAGGTACATTTAATACATTTAAGGTACGTCATTTTCTCTAATTCCACCAAAAATGCAATTATGGCATGCGCTTTATACGAGAAATAATTCAAAACAATAGTTGACCAGTTTGTCGATAGAACTTGTTGGAAATATTACATCGAGGAAGGGGGGTGGTCTTACGTCATATCCGTGACCGTTACTAGGCATTATGGGAAGTGTGAAATTGGTGAATACCGTTGCCCTTGCGTGAAGACTGGAATCCCCGAAACACTTAACGATGACGTCATGGTGCAAATTCGGCCATGCTGAAGCCAACAGGTTCAACTGTAGATACAGGTGAGAAGAAAAGAAACAACTGACTTTTTTTTTTAATAAATAGTTACTGTGCAAGAATACAGAGAATTTGACATACCAAAACGTACACAATGCTTTTAGATGCAAGTGATAGATTATGTCTTCCACTAGCAACATTATAAAGCACTAGAAAGATACGGGGAAAACGTTTAAGCTCTGACAAAGTATATCAAATGCTAAAGTTCAAACTTTTGACCCAACACAATAAAGTTCTCTCACCTAGAGCTTTCAACCAGTCAGTGGTCTTCCTCAGTAGCCACGTGACAAGTCTCACTGGGTCAGTCTACTGAGGAAGACCATAGTGACTGGTCGAAAGCTCTAGGTGAAAGAACTCTATTGTGTTGGATCAAAAGTTTTAACTTTAAACATGTATCTACCAACACAGATGAACCTTCGTGATAGTACGTCAAATGCTAGTTGACCTGGTCTATCCTGAGCGCTTCCCCCACAATGCCTTGCGGTGCCCAGACCAGCCGCTCCACCAGACAGTCCATGTTGGTGGTCAGGATCAGAGGAAACCTTCCCAGGGTCCTCAGCGCGACATGAGGCAGTGACGGCCGGTCCTCTAGTCGCTGAAGGTAGTCTTCTTCTAGTTTCTTCAGTTTTTCCGGGTTTACGTCGGATTCATCCTAAGACAGAAGATAAAAGCATGATTTCGTATCTTGTTTAACGCTTGAAAGTTTTAGTTGAGCACTTCATATTCCCATTTCAAGCACCATACGGTGCACAGGTGGTTTGCTACACCTGTTACCATGGTCTTTCTTTTAAAGATAGCACAAGATTCCTTGCAACTTTTAACTTTTGTAACGTCTAACTTTTGTTTCTTTTTGGACTTTAAAAAATTGTCTTCACTTATTTACATATCAATCAATACTTTGTGATTATAAACCTGCATTTCTCCTCTTGTCTCTCAGTCACTGACGAAAGCTAGCGGATACTAGCTGAAACGTCTGACCGTTTCCAAAATCATACCCAGTTGCTTGAGTAATTGCTTTTTGGCGTATCGTATTACCTGGATGTCTAACCTTCATCGGCGTATTCCTTGTAACTGCATATACAGTCACTGCCGCTAGTCGGCGTTGCTGACCCGTGAACAAACGTGCAATTTGAACCCGGAAGTTACATATCTGTGCAGTTGTGAACTTTGGGGCGTGATATCGTACTGTGGAGACTTTTACGGAGTCAAATCACGCAGTACAAAATGTCTTAACGAGACTTTTGTCTGAGCTGTAATCAGACTGGACATATTTTATTCCACTGAGGAAGCTTATTTACGCACATTTACGAGAAAACCTAAGCAGATCCTGCTTACCTGAACGCTTGTCCACCAGTCACCGAGCGTCGCCGGTTGTGGCAGAGCCGAAATCTTTTCTCCGAGGAACAGGACCAGTTTCTCCTCCTTAAGGGCTTCTCTTAAGACTCGGAGGGCCGCCAGAAGACCCTGGTTCACCTGGCCAGGTGAGCTCATGATGTTAAGGGCTCCAGTTCTGCCCGTTGATACTATCTACTGCACGGACCAGTCGCTAAACAAATATCGATAGGATTGTGAACTCTGTAGCGGGTTGGACAGTCCAAATATCCTTTTTATGGGGGTGTAGCTACGGCTTTATTTGTCCTGTCATTAAACATTGCATTGGTAATTACTTCAGTGCAGGATAAAATAAACATTTAAATAATTAAACTGCCCTTTCCCTATATTTTATGAAAAAAATGTAATACTATTTTTTCTAAACTCTACTGTCAAAATATGTACTTCGGCTATAGATATATTTTCTCTTGTTTATCATTCTTCACCACTTGTTTACTTATTGTACGTTAATGACCAAGAACACAGCTATATAGCATGTTGTGGGTGTCCGAGTGTCTACCCCTTCCCCCAGCAACAATGATTTGTCCCCGTGAAAGCCATGATTGTTTTCGACTGAATGGTTCCAGAGGGACTTTCCACACGTTGGACGCCCCCTCATTCCACTGCGCTGACTCACACTCGTACGGGGGTAAGGTTTCACAATCGCGCACCTGCGTGCCGTCTCAGAAACGGCGTGTCGAGGTTTCGTTCGTGGAACTGTTGACAGAGCCGCAGGGCAGGGTACGACGTTTGGGCGGCTGTTTACAAGTCGTCACGGGGGCTAGGCAACTGTTCGTGGGTTAAGGTACCTTTTGCCCTCAGTCTCCTTACTTATCGTAAAGCGTAATCGAGAGTCTTCCGTAAAGCTTAGTCAGCTCTGAAGAGCGAGTCGGGACCCTCCATGCAGGCCCCCTTAAAGCAGATCTTTAGCCGGGAGGGATTAGATACATCGTGATGCCTCGTTTTGTTACAGTTGATCCTTGCAACTAAAATGGGAGGGGGGTTAAATTTAGAGGACGACCTATAAATTATGATCCTCCCACAACACCAGCTTGAATATAACGTCGTCATGATTACATCCAAGTGTCTTACAACATGTTTGTTATGTTCATGAATATTACTACCGGGATCCAAATCTGTATTTTGACACACTATTCATTTATGTGGGCGTAAATTCAGTAAATAGATTTATAACCTAACTTAACCTGTTCTTAGGGTTGATCAAAGGGACCGTTAGGTTCTAACACTTCCGTTTTCCACGAAATAATCATTTGAAAACGGTGCGACCAGCCGCCCATTCGGTTATGATGTAATATCCTGTCACATACATCTATATATGCATACGATGTCATCATTTGGCACTTTCACAACTTCCGCTTTTCGGTCGGGATAAAAATTACCGACGTGGTTTTTAGTTGCACGTCAGTCAATCCAGTCTGAAAGGGGTATTCGAAAGGGACATCTCAGCAATTGTTAAGAGTGTTTAGTTTTGTCGGCGGTGTAAGGTAAGGGCTTGTGGTGCGTTCCACGCTTGTAGTCAGTTGTAGTTGCATACTAGTATGTAGTTGTATTTGCTGTGTGTATATACAGGTACACGCAGTCGTATCTTAGAGCAGCTAATGTCTTGGTGTGAAAATTTTATTCCACTAACTTGAAGGTATAAAAAAGCACATGAAATCTCGCCATTTGTCACCAGATAGTAGCGCGCAGTAGTTATCAACGTCAATGTAATGTCACGGGGAAATAATTGCAAAGTAATATTCAAAATATCACGCTATGGAATTGACAATGTCTAAATGTGAAACTATAACCGTGTTTTTTTTTTAATCACGCACATGACTTGTTTGTGTTCATGCCAACCGTGCAAGGCCATACATGCGGGGGAAAAGTGTTATTCTTGCCAACAATGGGTTGTAACGTACACAAAAGCATGCTCTGTTCACAAGTCATGCTTCATTGAAACCTATTATGTAATATAACGGTGACCAATAATAAGTCTTCCTTTCATTCATTCAAGAAATTTTAAAAAGAGAGAAAAGGCTGGAACTGAAGCGTGCATGTTTTCCAAGGGTTGAAACATGCTAATCTCTACAAGCCCCCCTAAGACAAAGAGTGACATGTATATAATTTTATGTATTATGATGGTGATGATCAGACTTTCACGTACATGTTGTTTATTTAGTGAGTAATTCACCATGCCTCATATATGCTGTCAGTTGTCACCATCCTCCCATAGCCGCTGTCCCTGCCATGGGAGGATGGTTGTCACAAGCGTCCTTGTCTATTTCTCGCACCAGTCTGGACACCTAGCCTCTATCAGGCTTCGGGAGGCGGCTGAAAAGAGTAGAAATTGGCCAAATAGAGAGATAACATGCCAGGGGAGTTGGTCCGCTAGAGAGTACAGCAGACCGTACTCTCTAGCGAACCAACTCCCCTGGCATGTTATCTCTCTATTTGGCCGATTTCTACTCTTTTCAGCCGCCTCCCGAAGCCTGATAGAGGCCACTGAACACCTGTCAATATTCGTATAGCTGAGATACCAAACTACGTCCCTCCCCGGAAATGGGTTCGCCCTGCCTGACCCAGAAAAACGGCACCTGTTGGTGATGTCCGTGTACGTGGGACAGACTAGGGAGCGTTTGGTTGTCACAATTTTGAAAAAAAAAAATTATGGATGAGTATTTTCAAAAGCTAAAGAAAATGTACCAATTACCGTTTGTGCACAGTATACTAGTACATTATCTTTATCTGCAGTGACTGACACAGTGCTTGCTAAAAGGGCTTAAAGGGTTTAGAACGGATGTTATGTCTGAAAGTGAATTAAAACAACGACTTCCTGACATCGACCAGTGTCAGCAAGGGACTGCCCATTGTCAACCACAAAGGGATTACCATTAATGCAAACTGCAGTAAAGAATTAGATTTACCCATTATGATTACACCACCCTTTAGTAACCCCTCAGATATTAAAAAATACCAAACAGCTGTAACATATACATGTATCACCCACTCAGGTCGTGGGGGCAGTCTGTCTGTCTGTCCATAAATGTTACAGACAAAGACAATGTAATCTCAGTGCTGAATGAAACCTGAGCGCTTTTGAAATATTACATGGCTTGTTTGCCTTATATAATTACCCACAGTGACAGACGATGGACCCTGCAATGGCAGACATGTTTAAGGGTCTCATACAGACGTGCTTCGGTGAGTACAGCGCCAAGTACAGGAGAACAGAAGAGGGCCTTAGGCGGGTACTCCAGACAAAATACAGTGACAACGTCGACGAATTCAGACAGCGATTTGCAGAGCCAACATTGCAGCTGTTGACAACATTGCGGAACCAGGTAATAAGTCTTTAGCTTATATGAATATGCAACATTCGAAGCCGTCTTCTACTTTGTTCTCGTTTCAAACAAAATATATCTAGACATTTAGTAAGATAGCCTGGGTGCCAGACGCTTGCCAGGGACAGTAAACAGGCTAGCTCCAGACTTGTCCCCTAGGAAGTAGCCTGGTTACCAGACCTATTTTAGCTCCCGAATCGTTATCCTCTCCAAAGACTCAGGGGCTAAGATAGGTCTGGTAACCAGGCTAGCTTCTCAGGGTCTAACTACGGACTGGTCTGTGTATTGACCCTGGGAAAAGTCTGGCATCCAAGTTACTGGTAAGATGAAGCTGTTTTCAAATTCTCTCATGCTTTCCTTTGCTCAGGGGTTCCCTCTTTCCACGTCAAAGTACCGACTGGTTCACCTGGTTTCTCCCGATGTACCTTGCGAGGCAGGGGACATGTTCTTCCAGGTAAGCCAAGGCAGTTTTCTCTCTGACAGATTTGACACACAATACGTGGTTCTCACGCCCAATTAAGTGGTAAGTCATGAACACAGTACTACTACGTATACACCATAGAGCCTCCGATCAAATGTCAATTTTCCTCCTGTAACTATTCTGTTCCATTCAGTACCCAATAACATACAATTTACCTAAAGTGAAAAAAAGAAAGCTACTTTTGAGTTCCCAGGTCGGAGAACCTTTCATACTACGTGCATGATTGTGGCAATGATATAAGTATAGATTGCCGGGGAGGAATCACGTTCAATGTTTGGGTGGCTAGAAGTAATTTGCTCATTTGCCTCAGGGTTCAGATGGCTAAGTTACACCGATCGACTTGTTTTACATAGCCCTGGGCTGTTGCAACGTTTTCCCCTAGCGTTAGCAAAAATATAGTCCGATTCAACTCACCAAGGTGAACATTTATCCCTAGAGTCACACTCTCCACATACCAAAGCCCCCGGCCAGCTTTTTTCTAAAACCATTTCTAGAATCTGATAACACTGCTGTATAATTATGAAAAACTTAAACTGTTCTCCAACTCAAAATTTGACTCACCAGAAATTTTCGACTGAATCACTCAGTCTTCCTAAGCTATCTGACCCAAATGCTGTGGACACGTGATTTTTCCCACGTGTGACGTCAGCAAAGGGTCAAAGGTTGTCTGAAGTCGATATCGCCCCCGTGTCCACAGCATTTGGGTCAGATAGCTGAAGACTGAGCGATTCAGTCGAAAATTTCTGGTGAGTCAAATTTTGAGTTGGAGAACATTTTAAGTTTTTCATAATGTAATTTACCAACTCAGATGAACGTTCATGCTAACACTGCTGTATGTTTTTTTGCAGGTGGGGCAATCCAATCCCGGAACCCTGTCCTTGAAGTTCACCAAATACGACAACGTTCAAAACGTCATCAGACTGAAGAACTCCCACGTGCCTGAGAGGGACTACCGGACGGCGTTTACCGACCAGTACTTCCGGGACCTGAGGACGCTGGCCAGCCAGACTGGCAACATCGGAGACGTGCTGATGAGGACGTGCATCGTCGTCACCGGAGACGGGACGGTGGCGAGAGTTGGAACATCGACTGTCATGGAAGAGGTGGGCTATTGTTGTATGCCGCCATACCTTTTACATTTCTACTCCAACTGCTAAGACTCATGTAAGCCTACAGAATTTGTAAAATGCAATCATTAAAACGTTTTTCCTTGCAACTTTGAAAGAACTTTATTGCACGACAATTGCACATGGTACAATGTATGGCAAACTACATAAAGAGAGTAACAACAATAGAATAAGTGTGTTGAATAAGACCTAATGTCGAATAAAACCTAACATATCTATATCATAATCATTCAAATAGTAAGGGATATCACAAGTCTTTGATAAAGTGTTACAATCGAGTGGGCTAATCACAAGTTTCGGTATTTTTTCTAATAGCAAAACATTCCTTTATATATCTACCTACTAGTATTTTTGCGTTGTGGGGACCGTTACATGTAAAGATATATTCAAATCTGTCTCCAACATCGAGACTCTTAAAATCTATGGTACTTGATTCGAGAAATGTAAATAGCTTGTTACGTATAACATCATATTTGGTACATTCCATAACAAAATGAAATTCATTTTCTATATGCTTTGGACAAAATGGACAGTGGCTATATTGTAATATCTACCTGTTTCAATATTCAATTTATGGCTACTGATTCTTAATTGAGTTATTGCTTTACGAATTTCAAAGTTCAAAGAAATCAGCAGGGGTTTACAAGACTGTTGTCTTCACTAACTCACTCCGCTCACACATTCGATAGTTTAGATTTATTCATTACACACTCACTTCAGTGTGTAGATATGAAATAAAAGGTCTGCAATGCAAGCTTGGTTCTTTCTCTCTTTTAGATAAATATGAACGTGATCAGCAGCATGACCCCGGAGCAGAAACAAGCCATCGCCGACAAACTGGACAGGGACCCGGTGCTGAGAACATCGGGCAGTCGGGACGACTGGCAGGCTCTAGCCGGCAGACTGGAGGCAGAAGGAACCTTAGAGGAAGGATTCGCAGCGGTAAGTTTTCTATTGCATGAAGGAAGATCTTGTATTTGCCTTATGTGTAGTATTTTAAGTTTTACAGTTGCTTTCTTATTTATTTGTTTATGCTTCGTACGTTAATTAAACCTTTGTTTATCTATGTTTTATGTAAGGTGTAACGACACCGATTAGTTAATCAATTTATTTATTTAAAATCTGTTATGCCCATACTACTCTCTTGTTGTGGTCATACTAATTTTACTACATGCTCAATTTTATACATGCTCATTTTACTATTTATATGCAAATAAAACAAATAAGCAAGCAAACTTTTACTTTCAGTGTATAGAGAACGGGATCAGAATGTTGAACAGACAATTTATTCCATCTGGTTGACCGCTCAGTCATATTCAAAGACAAATCAAACTCTACTACTGGATAATTAACGGAGATAACTTCCGGACGTTTCTTCAGCGTCACTATTAAAATGAACTGAGAACACAAGTCAACATCAATCACATGTAAAGGAACTGTAAAACATTTGAACATGACAAAGACTCGTGATTGTCACTGTGAATGAGTTGCCTTGTACTTTCTAAGTTAATTTATTTGTTCTCAAATTGTATTATGTGATTTGATTACTTTTTGTATTGTTTTGTCATTTTATTGCTATGGCGGCTTTGAAAAGGTGTTTCATGTCAGAAACACCCGTTTCGCCATGCCATCCACAGTGCATATTGTACGTAGTAAAACTTAATAAATAAATAAATAAATGAGGATAGGGTAGTTCCTATGGTAAGACAAACGACCGCTCAGCCAGGACTTTTTGTCAGGACTTTCTTTGTCGAAAGTCCTGACAATTTATTCACCTGAATATTCACCTGAATCCAGGCCATTAGGTACCCTTACTGGGTAATGAGGCCGTCTTCGTGGTGTAGACAGTTTGGGCATTCAGTAGGAGAAGACGTATCCGTATCTATCAGGGTGATCCTTCCACTCTATAGCCAACTTGGTCTTGAATACATTTACTGAGCTGCTGTTTACTGTGGCTGGTGACAGTTTATTCCAAATTGGGGTTGTTCTTGCAGGGAAGAAGTTAGACCTGGGTCCATTTGATTTTTGTACCTGGTACTTGTAGGCATGTCCTCTAGTCTTTTTCGATAAACTGGGCATGAACATTGACCTGTTACAGAGGTTACAGTGATTTTCTGTCCGCAGTTTATCAAATCCATGTGAGATCTTGTACAACTCAATTTTGGCTGTTCTTCTTCTCTAACTTTTCTTCCTTTTCTCACAAGAAACTGAATGCGTGCGTGGCACAAGGCAGCCCTACGATGAAGCTTCTTGAGATGCTGTGCAGGAGTGACCCGAACTACCCCACAGCACGTCTCGTGGAACATCTAAGGCAGCTCAAGAGAAACGACGCTGTCGAGGCGTTCAACCATTCAAACGAAGCGAAAAGAAGAAAAGGTAAATTTTTATTTTAACCCTTGTCCTGCTGGCAATTTTTACACAATATTTTCAAATAATTTCATGTCTTAATCAGGTCACAGACCCTTGACTTTTTTTGCCCTGCGGCGGCGTAGTTACTTCCGCATTCGTTGCGTTTTGCTGCGGTGTGATGCGTTGCACGAGAAACACCCCCAAATCGCACATATACAGGGCACTACATAGATGGTACCCGCTAATATTATGGCGGAAGTGCAAGGTACATGTAGGTCTGGATTGTGTTGGTTGTTGTAACCTGTGATTTTAGAACATGTTGTATGCATAACTATTGGTGCTATGTACATCTAATTACAAAATAATACTATACACATAACTGTTGACTCTATGCCTTCTGTTTTGTGTTTTGTCACAGACTTTCAGAAAAACCGCGCACATACAGTCAACTTGGTAAGTCGAAGCAAAACGTTCTTTCGCGGCTTTTATATACATAAAATGTTTATAGGTAAAAGTTCTAAAACATCTCTTGAAATGAAAGAGAATATACAGTTACAATCACCAGGAAACATGCTGAAGGACCATTTCATTTAAGTTTTTAACATTGATAGATATGATTGAATCAGGGGTGAGTGAATATGCCTGGTAGCAAAATCAGACAAAGTGCTGTTAGTTCCTTATTAGTATATAGCCGGGCGACGTCGACCAATGAGAAGCTTCCATTTTTCATTGGTTAGGCCACACTGACTTAATTTTATGGATGACATCCGCGCGCGCATTGATTTTCGCCTGTCGCCCTCAAAAAAAAATATATCACGTCCACCGAGGCTCTGGCCTGGCTCTAGGCCTGGGTAGTTCATGGTAGTCAGCGACAATACGGAGCCGAGCACACAGGCTATCGAATTCGAAGCTCCGCGACTCAAGAACTCAGTACATAAGTACAGTACCGATTCATAAATGCCGCAAAAAGCCAGCATGTCGTATACGTTGCTAAGTACTGCCGCAAATTCACAATACCAGCTTTGTATTCCTGTGATTTAGTAGCATTTTTATTTTTGGCCGGAATTTTTTTTATTCGCCCGCGCGCACTAGTTTGGGGGTCTTCAGAGGATGTCATCCTTAAAATTAAGTCGGTGTGGCCTTATCAGGTCGTAACATCATAAGTGGTGAATAATGAAAAAGTGGTCAGTTATTAGAAAAATTATGTTCATTTTTTTATTCCTTCATGCGTTTTATACCATAGGGCGAGCTGGCCATGGGACTGCCCAACACGAAGCTGTCCAGGGAGGAGTCTGGTTCAGACCCGTGTCTACCGGACAGCGCAGACAAGCTGCACTCCGATGCCGAGGGAAACTTGGCGGGAGAGCTCCTCAGCCGGTCCTGTCCACACGGTGTTCTCCAGCGGAGCAACACGGTTCCTACAACACCACTACAAGAACGACAGCCAACAAGTGTGCCGGTACAGCCAGTGTCCGGGGTGCAAGAGCAGACAAAAGTGCCAGTGCAGGCTGTGGACCAACCCAAAGAACTTTCGTCTCCTCAGCAGGCAAGTCAACAGCAAGAGGACGCGAGCGAACCCGTCACAATCGACCTTCACGTAGGCAAGATGGTGACCAATGACCTACAGGCTACTCCTGAGTACCCACTCGACCACCCCGACAATCCTGCGTATCCAGAAGTTCAGGCAGCCGTCACCAGCTCTCAAAGAACATTCCAAAATCCACAACCCATGGCCGCCCACGAAAACTGGGCAGTTAAGTCACACAATGGTCAAACCCTGGAGCATGAGAACAATCCAAGCTACCCGCCTGTCAGTGAAGCAGTCACTGGTCCCACGGCTTCTGATCAGGTACCGGTGGCAACGGGGAATTCAAATGGCAGCATCGGCACGGGATTGGTGAGTCAGACGGCGACGTTAACCAATCAGGAGTACCCGTCTGTGGAACGTGCGGTTCAGGCAAACTAAAGGACTTGGACAGAAGAAAAATATTGTATAGCTTGACATGTTGAAAATCGTCTACAGGAAAATGATATGCCTATGTGGTATATTGTTTTGTATGTGTAAGATTATGAATTGTGTAAATATGCATGTGCAACATTTATTGTTTTTTTTGCCTGGCTTTTACCACTTGCTAAGGATGTTGTCAGCTAATTTGGTTCCTATATGGGGATTCAATAGATGGATTGATGTCAGAAGTGTACATATATGTACAGAATGCTGAGCAGCTACATGAAGGTAAAAGTTGATTTTGGGAATTTTTTAACAATACGTTGTTACGTTTACATTATAGAAATAGTGGTTTCATTTTGTATATCTTGCCATTGATGTGCCAAATTGTAAGCCCTGTATAATAGGGCGTGCAATTTGCCATTGAACTTGGAGACTTGGCATATCCCGTTATTTCTGAGACGCCTTACGTCACTTGTTCACGTGTTATTTCATAGTTTGTGTGAGACGTACATGTTTTTTTTTGTGTGTGTGTGTATTTTTATGCTTACACTTAGACTTAGCCTGGGTGCCATCCTATTTGTATGCCGGGGCTCCCATACTCGCTTCCTTAAAATATTTTTTCGCGAGGGAGTACGGGAGCCCCAGCATACAAATAGGATGGCACCCATACTATATAAACAAAGACTAGCTATTTCTGATCCATTCTTTTTGATCGGTGGCATGTTGTTTCATGTTTGCGGCACTGAATTCTGGACAGGTGTTTTATATCCGGTAAAGCACGCTGTGGATAAACATTCCCATGTCGATCGTTATACATATGTCGAGTTCACATAAGTGTACACGACATGTCAAAGCTATTGATTAACAAAGTGTTTATTTGAAGAAATGAATTCCGAGATCTAGAAGTGTGAAGCACGTGTTTGGTTTCTACTTAGGCCACAGCAAGTAATTTTTATGGATGACATCAGTGCGCGCATTAATTTTCGCCTGATTTTGGAAAAAAAAAAAACAGATTTTGTTCCCTTCTGACAGTGATCAACATACCGAAAATGGGCAAAGATGTTGTTACAATGCCGGAAGGTGGATGGCAGATAACTATGAAGAGAGGAGACAAGAAAGGCTCTGATTTAATGTTTTGTTTTTCACTTTGATGCAGTGATATGTGATGCTGTCTGTGTATATATGATGTTCCCACTGAATCAATGATTGAGTCAAAATTTAAAAATGTCGGAACCTTGTTTTTTTTTTTCGCCTCGTCTTGTTTTTTTTTGCCCGCTCGCATTAGATTTGGAGTCTGCGGAGGATGTCATCCATAAGATTTACTTGCTGTGGCCTTACAAAGGCCGACTAGCTCTGACTTGCCCATATTGATTGGCGGCATTTTGTATTTTATGTTTACAACATTGAATTGTGAACAATTGTTACATAATCTAAATTTAGTTTATTCCGCCCAACCTTGTAGAAGTGACATCACGGTGACCTTCTCCAATTGCGTTGGTTGTACAATGTGAAATCAGACAGTGTAAAAAGATAGTTGCGTAGTGATAACACATTCAAGTAGAAACAGAACAAAAGTACTAAAGAACAAGACTTAGTCCAAATGAGTCTGGATTTTGTGGCTGTAGAGGTGGACTGTGTGATGTAGGAGTGACTTGCGTAGTCTACTAGTCCGTTTGTTTGGCACAGTGATGCCTACATAGTTATGGATAAACATTTACATATTGATTGTAACAGAGATAGAGCTGGTAGATAGACAAGGGCTTTGTCCTAACCTGTGTAAGGCCATGTTGATTTGATTATATGGATGACATCCGCGCGCATGAATTTTCGGCCGTTTCCACAAAAAATGTTTTCAACCATACTGTACATCGTGCAAAACAGTTGCTAAATGAGCAAAAATATACCATAAGTTGCAAGGAAAACATTTAGAAACGAATGTCGTAGAATGCCAAAATCAAAGGAAAAAAGACAAAAATGTAAAGAAATGAATTCGAAGAGTAGATTATTCGCCATAACATATTCTGTGCCATTTGTTCAACCTTCATGACCACGTACTAGATTTCATAGTGAAATCAACTTTTTTTTTTGCAAAACTTTTTTTTATTCGCACGCGCGCATCAGTTTTGGGGTTCCCAGATGATGTCATCCATATAATCAAATCAACATGGCCTAATTGGTGAAGTATGATGTGTGGACGATCTTAGCAAGAAACTCGAGTGCTAATTATAAAGTTCACAATAAAAGACGATATTTATAAAACCATCCCTTTGTTACGTAAAGCCTGTTTTACTCAACACGGTTTGTACGCTTGTACTCGTAGTCGAGTACGTATATTGTTGTAAAACTACAGCTCTCATTCCAACTGTTCCGGGGGTAAGGGTACACAATCGCTAATCTCCAAGCAGATCCCTCTCGGTGGCAAAAAGACAGTATTAAATTGGCCAGGCAGTATCCGTTAGCCAGAGAAGGTCCGCGGCCACCGGACCGGGATGGTGGGGATCAGGACAAAAAAAAAACGGCCATATAAAAAGGTAACGATCATTCCCCCACAACCTCTGCTTGGAGAGTACACAATCGCGCACCTGCGTGCCGTCTCAGAAACGGCGTGTCGAGGTTTCGTTCGTGGAACTGTATGTTGTTGTTGACAGAGTTGCGGGCAGGGTACGACGTTTGGGCGGCTGTTTACAAGCCCTGGGCCTCTGGTTGTGGGTTAAGGGACGTCGGTAACGTTCTTATTAAAGCTAGGTAGGGAAGATCGTGAGCCCAGTGCCCAGTTTTCGTTGGCAACTGATCCTCGTAAGGCCACACCGATTTAATTTTATGGATGACATCCTCTGAAGACCCCCAAACTAGTGCGCGCGGGCGAAAAAAATAAAAATCCGGCCAAAAATAAAAATGCTACAAAACCACAGGAATACAAACCTGGTATTGTGAATTTGGCGCATTACATAGCGACGTATACGACAGGCCGACACATGCTGGATTTTTGCGGAATATATGAATCGACACTGCTGTACGTATGTACTGAGTTCTTGAGTCTTGGAGCTTCGGTAGCCTGGCTGCCGTTAACTAGTTATCACCACCATGCACTACCCAGGCCTAAAGCCAGGCCAGAGCCTCGGAATACGTGATCTTTTTTTTTTTTTTTTTTGAGATCGGGCGAAAATCAATGCGCGCGCGGATGTCATCCATAAAATTAAATCGGTGTGGCCTAACCAACAAATGGAGGGAAGGGGGATTTAGATTACGTCGCGTTATTCCCCCAACACGAAGATTACGTCATCATAAATACATCCGATTGTCTAGCATTTTGATTTATTACGGCTTGAGTGAATCTATGTTGTAGCCCGCCCTATTTTATATTAGGCCATGTACAATAAGTAAACTGGTTTATGACCCAACCTAACGTGTTTTAATTAAGGTGTTACCAATTAAGCGGACCGCTAAGTTATAATATAACTGCAGTTTTCCCCGAATTGATTACATAAAAAAAGCACAGACGGCCACGTTGACCAATCAGGAGTACCCATCTGTGGAACGTGCAGTTCAGGCAAACTAGATGGAAGAGATGCCTTTGGGGGTATATTATGTCCAAGATTATGGGAATCAGATTGGATTGTGTAAAATATGCATATGCAACATTTCTTACTTTTTGTTGCCTAGCTTTTACCACTTGTCAAATATTGTCAGCTAATTTGCTACCTACATGGGTTCAATAGATGGATAAATGTACATATATGCGGATGATGTAGAGACACAACATGAAGATAAGGAGTTAATTTTGCATTGGGAACGTTTGTATATCTTTCCTTTTTTCATTTTTGAACAAAAACAATACAAGGAAATGGCAACTGGGGCTGCACTGATGTTGTACACTTATTTTAACAGCCCCACTTGACATTTAACACTTATTTTTCCTTTGTATTCTTCAAGCAAAATGTTGTGACTTTTACATGATGGAAAGAGTAGTCTTATTTTATGTATCTTGCCATTCATGTGCCCATCTGTAAACCCAAATGCAAGTTGGACTTAGAGACAATAGCCTGGCCGGTGCCGTAAACTCATACAGGCACCGGGGGGCGCCAGGCTCAGGCAAAATTCTGAGAAGTGTTTGTTTTTTATGCGACAAAGGTCGACTATTCCTGACCTGCCGGCGGCATTTTGTTTTATGTCAGCAAAACGTTCGTATCCGGCATACAAAGCGTGTCATGAATGGACATTTTTAGATGTAACGAGTTGATATGGCCGTTCATGACCAGTCAAAAGAACTGATACACTAGGTTTAAGTATACAGAGGATGTTTGTTTTCTGTTAACAAAGGCCGACTAGCCATGACTTGCCCATATTGATTGCCACCGTTTTGTTTTATGTCAGCAACATTTGAGTTGTGGACAACAGTTAGATAACTTCAACTTACAAACCTTGCAGACCCGACATTATGCTCACCTTCTGAATCACGTCGATTTTTTTTTTTACAATCAAGAAAATGATTGTGTAAAATGATAATTAGACAATTATTGATTAATCTGGAGTGTACGGTTGTACAAGCGGATGGTGTTATGTAGGAACATGTTTAGGAACAGTGATACTTTCTGAGTCACGTATACATGTACACTGTGATTAAAATAAACATACACATGCTGATTGTAAGTCTTGTAACAGAGAGCTGGCCTATATGTTGATAGAAAATTGCACGTGTTCATAACCAGTCAAAGCTACTGATGCATAAAGTTCAAGAAATGTGTGATTGTACCCAAGGTGTTAAATAGCTTTAGAACCCCTGAGACGCTTTATATTGTATACAAGACGAAGTAGGATCTGTTAACGTAGCAAGGAGTCCCATTGTTCATCACAATGGCTTTAACTTCGGCAGGCTCAAAATAAAAGCCTATTGTACATATATATCAAAAATCTCGTTTTTATTTCAAACTTTTTAGTGTTCAAACTGTTATTCTGGCCTGATGTCCCTTATCAGGATCAGTTAGCCGATTTGTAGTCCAGCGTGGCAGCTATACAACTAGAAAATCCGAAAGACCTAACACAGTGAGTATTACCCTGCCATATGGAAACATAACCAGTATCCGAAATACGAGTATATGGTTTCCGAGAAGCCCCACAAACCTGTGGAGACTGCATCACGAGTGGTCATGTGTTCCGTCAACAAATTTAGGCTCGTAGGGTTTGTCGATTTAAGTGGAATTGTGTTAATATAATGACGTCGCATTTTTCCTCGATTTGAAGTACATCCACCGTAGTTGTTTGCGATCAGATTAGATAAGAGTTCGTTGCTCACTGATCCATGTAAATAATCAACCCGGGAGGGGCTTGTGGTTTTCACAGTGACGTAGCGCCGCCACACCCGTTAAAGTTGAAGAGGTCAACCAGCCGTGTGGTGCTTCAAGCCCCAGAGATTTGTATCGACCATGGGGAGCTCTGCAGTCCTTACTACACTTCTGTTCTGTGCCCTAGCTGTACACTGCAGCGCTGACGGTTTGTGCACTCGTTTATCTACTGTTTCTCTCTTGAAATTTGTCTGAGACTGATACTGATACCTGTATCTAGCAGTCGAATTCAATGCTCTGGATTGATGTGTTGAAAGAGGGAATTGTTCAGATATAAATATGAATGTTTGATGTGAATTGTTGGTCATATGGTGTGGCTCTTTCCACCCAAGTAAACCTGTTATCGAACACGGTATCGTTCAACACCTGAAGGCTGACGTTGGGCGTATTGGGGAGGGGTAAAGTAGCAAGGTGAAGCACTACATAGGAACGCACGGGGAATCCCATTTGAACTCAATGACGTCATAGGTAGGGTTCGAAGGGATAGAACATTAATGATACTGGGTTTGTATGATGTCGTAAATTAGGCCTTAAAATGCCGGATATGCAAAAATGTGGCTAGTAATGTTTAAGATTCAATTTCAGACATTTTGATGATGTAATCGTAAGTGAATAGACATTGCATGTTTGGAGACGCGAGGCATTGTGGGTAGCGCAATGATAGCATCATTTTTCAAGTTGGCAACATTGACCCAGTACGCGTGCGCAACACGTGTTGTCATGGAAACAATTTTGTTTTGTTTACCCTTCGAAATTACCCATAGTGCACCGCATCTTCCAGCATGCACTGAGAATCTTGAAAAAAGATTATAAATTACTAGTATCATTGATCCCAACTATCGCCATGTAGGATCGTGTGGCGTAACGGTAAAGTGTTCGTCTATCTCGGAACCAAGAGGTCCCGGGTTCGAACCCTGCCGTGCCACCGGTCTTGTGCTCTTGGGAAAGGCACTGCCCTCACGTATAATGTATTGTCCCCTGTGTTGGTGGCGGCATAAAAATAAGTTTTAAAAAACTTGAGTGTGCCGTCCCCACGTCTTGTGACTACATGTTGGAATATAAAAGAAAACTAGAAAGGCAACATTTGCAAGGCAAATGCATAATGTTAACCTTCGCATATGGTCTGCTCTGATAATTCGTACTCAAACACAACCACATATATGGTCAGACAGGAGTCTAAATCCCTCCTGCTATAAAATTGCAACATGATGTAACCCAACACTAGTTGCCATGGTAACAGACACAAAATTGGTTCAGGTCATTGGGGTCACTGTTTGGAGAAGAAGAGGAAACTGAGCAAAAACAATATGTTTTCCTTCGGTAAACAAAAAAACTCTCGCCACAGGCGTCTTCTGGCACGTGACTGACTTCCACTATGACTTCACCTACCTGAACGGCGCGGAGGGCGGGAAAATCTGCGACTCCCAGACAGCGGGCCAGCCGACACCGAGCGATCCCGGCAGCTGGGGAGACTATCTCTGTGACGCCCCCTGGCGACTCATCAACGACACTGTACACGCCATGAAGGACATCGAACCCAACCCTGACTTCATCATCTGGACAGGGTACGTTCATTGAAACTTCTTATAAAACTTTCAATAGAAATAACGTATCATGGCCATTGCATTGCACTTCTCACCTGTTGCTTTGTATTCCTTTACTTTACTTTACTTTACTTTACTTTACTTTACTTTACTTTACTTTACTTTACTTTACTTTACTCTACTCTACTCTACTCTACTCTACTCTACTCTACTCTACTCTACTCTACTCTACTCTACTCTACCCTACTCTACCGTCTACTCTACTCTACTCTACTCTACTCTACTCTACTCTACCCTACTCTACCGTCTACTCTACTCTACTCTACTCTACTCTTCTCTACTCTACTCTACTCAAGTTCTAAGTTATAAATTCCAATTTTTCTGTTTCTTAAAATTAGACTAGTAATTCTCCGCTATTTGCACACGGTCCTTTTGATCATCTTAACTGTTATTTTATAGAGACGACACTCCCCACATCTATAACAATAAGATGAACACAGGCGTGGTGCTGACTATCATAGGGAACCTGACCGACCTACTTCGAACCGTCTTCCCAAACACACAGGTATGACTGTATAGGTTACAGTTAGTAGAATATTCATCTATCAGTGACTGTTTTTGAAAGGTAGAAAAGTACCTCCAAATTTGTTTGCCGAACCCCTGGTATGTTATCTCTCTCTATTTGGTCAATTTCTACTCTTTCCAGACGCCTCCTGAAACCTGGTAGAGGCTAGCATTTTGTCTAAAAACAATACCAGATTAAGAATAATTCCTCTGATCATTATTTGAACTTACTTACTACTTATATGTATACATGAACATGGCAACATGGCGTCGTTACACCAACATGGCGTCGCTACACCAACATGGCGTCGTTACACCAATATGGCGTCGTCGTATAACGTTACTTCATCACTCCGATGACGTGTTTCCCAGGTTTACCCGGTGTTCGGTAACCATGACTACCACCCCAAACACCAGATGCCGCCCGAGCCCAACACTGTGTACAACGCCACCTGGAGCATGTGGAACGTGCCCAATTGGCTGTCAGATGATGTGAAGAACACCTTCGTCAACGGTATGCACGGATTGCTCCTGAGCCGTTTGCTACCAACGAGGTTACATGTTTGCCAGCGTATGATAAGTTAGGGACGCATTTTGACCGTTCCTCTTCGTGTGTAAACCATGACCAAATGAATGTGAACCTGTTTCATTGCCTTTTTAACTACAGCCTTGCTATTTTTTTAAACGACGAAACATTTCCGTCTTTTTCACCACTACAGGTGCTTACTACACGATGCCGATTAGCCCCGGCCTCAGGCTTGTTGGGCTGAACACCGTGTACTACTACACTAACGACAGGGTGACTGCGCCTACTGATGATAATACGGACCCAGCCGGGCAGTTTTCCTGGCTAGAGGGAGTTCTGCAACAGGCAGCAACCGACAATGAGAAGGTCCGTGTAGTGTATTCTTCCTAACTGTATCTGTATGTACACTCTAACTGTATCTGTATGTACACTCTAACTGTATCTGTATGTACACTCTAACTGTATCTGTGTGTACACTCTAACTGTATCTGTATGTACACTCTAACTGTATCTGTATGTACACTCTAACTGTATCTGTATGTACACTCTAACTGTATCTGTATGTACACTCTAACTGTATCTGTGTGTACACTCTAACTGTATCTGTATGTACACTCTAACTGTATCTGTATGTACACTCTAACTGTATCTGTATGTACACTCTACTCACATTGACACAGAAAATGTAGCACTTAAAACTTTAGCTAGCAGGTGGTCCTTGTCCTTAACATATAGCAGAAAATGCCTGTTCAGCTGTGTCCACTTACGACTGGACCCTCCCCTGAGGCGTCGCCAAAAATATGTGCTTCAATAAAAGCGCTCTTTTCTGTAGGTGTTCCTGATTGGTCACGTGCCTCCAGGGTTCTTCGAACGATCCAAGGGCAAGAGTTGGTTCTACCCAGAATACAACAGGCGCTACCTGCAGGTCGTCACCAGACATGCTGACGTCATCAGGGGCCAGTTCTTTGCCCATCAACACTGCGACAGCTTCAAGCTTTTCTATGACGATGAAGGTAACAACACGACAATAATGCAGGTTATATTAGATGTGTACTCATCTTTTATTTGCAGTTTGGGCCCGCATCCCCCATCGTTTAGTGCTTCAAAATGACGTACAAATTGTGTAAAGATACGTACACAATAATAATTCTAACAAGAGCTACAGTGTATGTGTGTATGTATTACGCTTGGGTTAGCAGTACAGCGTATATATAGTAAACCAATGATAATTACCGTGATAATGGAGATGACAGACGGTCATCATAAATTCAGCTCTCGTTAAAAAGCGAATAAACAACTTTGTTATTCATCCATTCACAAACATAATGAAATTATTGACGGAAGAATGATTCTAATAGGAAATAGTGTTATGAAGATATACAAGTCCTTACACAAGTACATATTTTGTTGGTTTGCTAGGTAGGGCCGTGAACATGGACTTTTCCTATCACCAACGAATAAACGACCGAGTCCACGAAAAACGCGTGTTCCACCAGCGGCCATTGGAACAGAACTCGTGTTCCATTTTGGGCCACTCATAGTCATTGGAACAGAACTCGCGTTCCATTTGCGGCCACCCATGGTCATTGGAACAGAACGAGTGTTCCATTTGTGTTATAAAGATATGCAAGTCCTGACACAAGTACATATTTTGTTGGTTTGCCAGGCAGGGCCGTGAACTCCATGCTGCTGGCCCCGGCCGTGACCCCGTGGACCACTACACTGGACGGAGTTGGCGGGAACAACCCGGGAATCCGACTGGTCAGTTACAACAAGAACACCGGAGATCTAACGGTCAGTGTCGTCAGCTGGACAACTCATTCGTTCGGTACTTCTTTGATGCCAAATTTAAAAAAACAGGCGATTTTTACACTTTGCATATCAGAGCTTTAATGTGCACGATTTGTTGCATCTTTTGTTTCTGTTTGTTTATGTGGATTTTGCCACGTTGTCCTTGGTTTCTTTAATTGCTCTATTCAAAACCACTTTCATATTTGGTTCAAAGAAGTTATCATGGAAGCATGTCGTGTCACCTCAATTTAAAACATTGGCAGCTCTGACATTTTTATAGTGAAAGGGTAACGATTTGGTACTTTGTTTTCAGTATGTCGTTGACAAAAATAATAATTTGCGACTGGTCACGAATAACACAGTACTTCCCTCCCCCACTATAGGATGTAGCCCAGTATTTCTCCAACCTGGCCCTGGCGAACATGCAGGGTTCCCCGCTGTGGGCACGCGAGTACAGCCTCAAGGATACCTTCAACCTGGCCGACGCCTCACCGGCATCACTTCAGAACCTCCTGGACAGCTTCAGCGACCGTTCATCCGACAACTTCGAGAAGTACTACCTGTACAACTCGGTTAGCCTCGACCGGTCTACATGTGACGAGGACTGCAAAGTGGCACAACTGTGTGCCATCAAGGAAGTCGACTATGACAAGTATGCAGACTGTACAAACGCGCCCGGGAGTGGTGCAGATACCGCTCAAGTCTCGACGCTAACCAGCTTTGGAATGTTCCTTCTTTTTGTCATGGCAGCTTTTGGTCTTTCTGCCTGACAGCAACATTACCGTTGGGGCATGTTGTAGTGATGTGCAAAGAATTATCTAAAAGTGCTCCAGAAAAGCAACTAAGGAAAGTAGTTCAGTTTGATGCTTATGCTTCATAGTTTTGAATGTCGCAAAAGCTTTGAATAAATACCACTGATATAAAAAGTGAAAGAAATGGAATGTATTTAGCTTGAAATAAGTTTGTACTAAATTTTTTATGTTTAAAGTTTTTAATATTGTTAAAGATCTTGGTGAAAACAATGCGTACTGTGAAGTTTCTTTTAACGTTGTTGCAAATGCTGGGGTTAGAACAAGGTACCAAAGAATTAAGGATTGCTTTCATCATAAATAAATGTTACTCTTGACTAGATTTCAATTTTTCTTCTTCGTAGTAGCTCTTTTGTTTGAAATAAAGCTATGACCAACATGTTTCATTTAGTAACGATAGTAATCCTGGTAGCGGTTTTGACAGGCTATGCTATATCATCTAAATGACAATGCTATATTAAAGTCAGTCCAGTACTACCTCATGGTATGTCGAAGTATATCATTTACGTTAAAACAAATTTTAAATTTACGCCTTCTTACGAATTTACACCATCATTAAAACTATTTATGGAAAGCGTCTTCAGAGGAATTCTTAAGACGTCACGGCGTCTTGGATACTCGGATACACGTCGTCAGTTTGGTCTTGGTGGTTGTCTTTGTGATCAGTCGTGGTGAGTAGATACTCAGGAGAACCACTTTCCTCTGGCCCGTCTCTCTCCCCCGGGCCCTCTTCAACAACCGTTACGACCTTGGCGTATTGTGTTATGTCGCCTGAGTCACTCTCAGCGATCGGTGCGAGATCACCACCACTGACAGTGACGTTACCATGGTCTGCTGTGCTAGTGGAAACCACCAGTGGTACGATTTCACCGCGCTCGAGGAAGCGGAGGTTAGGTGCTTGTTCTTTCACCTTCTCTGTCTTCGCACAGGAGCCGATCACATACACGTTATCGCCAACCTGTGACGGATGGAACATTGATGTTTGGTCACTCAGTAACAGGGCAGAAGGTGCATATTATAAGCCTGTAACGTCTGTAGGAATTTGGCCAAGAAGACCGGGTCACCCTTATCCTTATCAATAGGTGTGTTGGGATATCTAACACACACGTAGGCCATTGAATAAATCATAAACGAACAGGTAAAACACTCACCTGTCCAAAGTCTGTCAATGTTTTGCCTGCTTCTACTACAGTCACCACCTCATGGTCAGTATCAAGGGTACTGACTTTTTCAGATCCTCTGTACACCAGGTAACGCAGTACAGGACGCTCATTGTTGTACAGCACAAAACCTTAGGATTATAAAAGTATGATATGAAACATTAGAATTGACCCATACAAATATAATTTGTGAATGATGAAGTTACTAACATCCTGCTACAGAATGATGATAGTAACGTTAAGAGTATATTATTTTTATCACCAAAATACGGTATTTGACATAGCATGAATAAATTGTATACATTGCAAATACAGGATATAAAGAAGTGTAATATGTCATTCATATGTAAGTAAGCTTACTGACCAGCATTCTTATGAGAACTGGGAAGTCTCCTAACTCCCAGTCTTCCTGCAAAGGTGTTCACCTCGTACGTTTTGTCTTGTTCACAGGAAATCCACATGGCCTGTAAACAAAGCATCACATCCGACAGTTATTACATCCGACAGTTCTTTACAACAGTTTTTCATTGCTGATACTGGGAAAATAATTATACAAATCATAAAGGAACTTTTGTAAAAGGAAAATGTGTTTATGTCGACAAAGGTCAGACATCAAGGTAACTAGATACGACAAAACAGTTACTCAAGCAACTGGTTATGATTTAAAAATGATATCCAGTTGCTTGAAGAACTGTTTTTTATTTCTTGGAGAAGATGTGTATACCGTGTCGTCACAATTGTCATCCTGGCATCGCTGCTGTAGTGAAGTTATGGCGTGATCCGGACAGAGGATCGTCAGCTGGGCATCATTGTTTTCTTTTTCTCCTTGAGGAAGGACCTTCTGATTCACCAGGGTAGATAGCTCACCAGCGTGGTCAGAATGGCGCGAGGATACGAACACCAGGTTTGGCAGCTGCCCTGTAGAGGATATGTTTTCAGTGGCAGGTTGGATTCATTCAGTTCATTGGTATTGGTTTGGCTAGTTCAACCCTCCCAGCCAGGGCAGCTCACCTAGCCAGTGACTAGTACAATTAGGTTGCCTTGCTGACAAGACATGATAAAACATTGCAGCAACATATAAGGAGACTTATTTTTCCACAAAGGTATCATTTATCTAATTTGACTCATCAGAATGGCCTTCATACAAAGTTAGAAGTAAGACAGATACAGTATGATATGATGTAATCAATTTAAGATACGCATTGATAAAATAAACCCACCTGCAAGCTCCTGGCAGGACCTGAGAACTCCCAGTCCGACATTTAAGAGCATAACCGGGGAACCGTTGAACATGACCGTCACTGAAGAGCTAGGGCTTCCCTCAAAAGCAGCTGTAGAATAGATAATGAAATGAGACGTCCAATGACGTTAAATGTGGTAGTAGATTTTATGTATCTCTGTGTGACAAAATAACTAATTGAACTGTAAATATTTTGTAATGTGTTAATATATTTTAGGGGTTATTAGATTTTATCCACTTGATTGATTCTGTAACGTCTGACGCTAATTCAGTCTGCCGACTGCTCTGTCAGATTGTGTTGAATTCCTTCTAATATACCAATCATCGTCATCATCATCATCATGACAGACAATGTATGTATTACATGTTAAGAACAACAGGAAGAGTGGCTTAACAGAAATACCAAGCGAATTGTGGATCACAAGTCATTGTCATTGTAATAATTAGTTATGATTTCAATCTATAGTAGATTAGTGTACACGTGGCTTGTCAAGCAATATTCAACTTTACACCACGTAAGAAAGTTTCTAAAGTTTTCACGACGTACCAGCTGTGGCATCTCTGGTGCCCAGGCAAAGAAGCTCCAGGTGCCCTGTGTCAGTCTTCACAGGAGCAGAACCAAACAGCATCTGCATCACCTGGTAGGAAGGTAATCTCACTTAACGTTTGTTTGTTTGTTGGTTGGTTTGTTTGTTTCGCATTTAATGTAACCGGTAAACCGCCTTTTTAGGCGTAACACGCCAGTTTTGTACTGGTAAGTACAAGCTGCATAAGATCATTTAAGAACACTTACAGGGGAAGGACCCCTATTCTTTTTTAAAAGTGCAGTGGGTTCTTTAACGTGCGTGGGGTGTGGCTTTTCCCAAACTCGGACCTCCATTTAACATCCTATCCGAGGGACGTCCTTAACCGAAGCTAGGTACTCATTTACACCTGAGTGAAGTGAGGAAAGTCGTGTAAAGTGCCTTTCCCAAGGGCACAAGATCGGTGGTATGGCAGGATTCGAACCCGGGACCTCTTGGGTCTGAGTCGAACACGCCACCGTTACACCACACGACCACACGACGAGCACGTTGAGCCTACGGATATTTCACAATGAGACCACAAAATAAAAATATAAAACAAGATTTACAATGACTGTACATTTTACCTTAGTCATGGACGGCCGCTGTGCTTCAGCCCTCAGACATCGTTCAATTGTTGGTTTCATCCTCGGCCCATACTCATCGCAGGTTTTCTATAAAAAGATACGCATAATGTAGAGTTATTTATTGCAAGTTCATGCCCGAAGGCAAATTGCAAACAGGCATTGACAAGAACAATGAGTACAGAATGTATTGAGGAGTGGTATAAAACTATATGCTAACATGAAGTTTTACGATCTACTAATCTAACTCTATAATGATAATAGTCAGTTGTGCCATTTCATCTCTTGGGAACTGGGGCACCTTAGTGGATATCATTATATTGACATTGGCATGATGTAAATCCTTACCGGGATGTCAGGCAGCCCCCCGCGTAGCTTTTCATCCATCGCATGCTTGTGTATGGCGATGTTGCTGAAGACCATCTCTCCACCAATCAGCTCGATCAAGCATAAAGCTGCAAAAAGAGGCAACGCACTTAGAAAACTTAAGAACTAAAAAAAAAACTACATAACTACTTCAACTACTCAGAACCAATTCTGAGACACTTTTTATTGAAGGTTTTTTCTGTACCAACTAAGTTAGAGTTGGAGTAAAGAATTGCACCTACCATAACTGTACACGTCTGCCTTCTTGGAGTAGTGCCCGCGGGATGACATCACTTCCGGGGCCATGTAGCGGTAGGACCCGATGATGGTCTTGGTCTGCCGTGTGCCCTCAGTCACTTTGGCGAGCCCGAAGTCACCCAACTTGAAGATGCTGTGGTCCTCTGAAATCTGTACATTTTGGACATAATGATTCTGTATCTGTATCTGTATAGCCAGTATAACTGGCGTAACACACCAGCTTCGCAAACACATGCCCCGGCAACAGCTAGCTATATTACACCGAAAACACCCAACATTATCAATCATAGTATCTCTAAGCAGAACAAAGAGGACATATAATTATCGTTATCTTATATTGTCTGCTAGCTTAATGGTATTGGGGTGGGAAAACTGCATATAGAAGGACCAAGTGCGACAATTAGCGATAACGGAAGACAGATGTTCACACGCTTCGCATAACTAGGTAGTGCATAGACTTACGAAGACGTTTTCTGGTTTGACATCCCTGTGCATGACGTCCTTTCCGTGCAGGTACTCCAGTGCGAGACCGATCTGTTTGGCGAATCGCAGCACGAAGTCCTTCTCCTGAGCTCCCGACTTCCTGAGGTGGTCCCGGAGGTTTCCCCCGTCCACAAACTCCATGATGATGCCCAGTCTGTTGTCCTGCACGATGCAGTCCACCACTTGGACGATGTTGTCGTGTTGCATATCTCTGTGGAGAACAAGAATGAAAAAAAAAACATAACTAGGTAACATTTGCAAAGAAAACGCATAAAGTTTACCTTTTTAGCATAGGTCTGCTCTGCTAATTCTTACTCAAACACATTCATATATATGGTCAGACAGGAGTCTAAATCCCTCCTGCTATAAACTTGCAACATGATGTAACCGACGCTAGTTACCATATGCATAGCCACAGCCATCTGGTTCAGGTCATTGACCTTTTTGGTTTGGAGAAGAAGAAGACGAAACTGAGCAAAAACAATGTTTTCCTTTGGTAAGCATGATGACAAATTAACTGTTATCAAAAGAACTTGACTGGCTGGAATTTTGCAACCGAATCTCTCGGTCTTCATCAGCTATCCGACCAAAGTGTTGTAGACACGTGATTTTGTCGGACGTGTCACTGGCTCAAAGTTCGTCGGAAGTCTGTACCCGCCCCCCCCCCCCCGTCCCGGTTGAGAACAAATCATTATTGCAGCCAGTTCAAGATGTGCCTTAGTGTAACTGACATCTTGATGAGGCTGGTTACACCTAGCGTGCTTATTATTACAACAGCAATTTTGCGCTACATAAAGTCGATAGGTTCAATGTCAATAAGTACCTTAGAAGTTTGAATTCATCTTGGAAGGCCTTCAGGTCTTTTGTGTTTTTGACTTCATTTAGAATCTTTACGGCCACTGGTCGCCCCTGTCGTGTAGCCCTGTGCACCGTGCTAAAGCTGCCGCTGCCGATCTGTAAAAATGAAGGTTTATCATGACTTCCCATATCAGCATCTGGTTATCAACCAACTTTTTTCACTTCTTCCTTCGTCTTCTCAATGCCTGTTGCAAAACAAAAAATGCCTAAATCTTTTATCATGATATCTTAAGGTATTAACGCCTAAATCAGTGCAAAGTAGAGATTTCATGACGAAGGCAACTTTTTTTGCCAAACTTATTTTAGTCGCACGCGCGCATCAGTTTTGGGGTTCCCAGAGGATGTCATCCATATAATCAAATCAACATGACCCTGGTAATGATATTCCTGAAGATTCACCTTGATGAAGTCGCTTCCTTGGTCCAGCTTCTTGTTGGTCAGAAGATGGATTTCACTCATGTACAGTAGCTTCTCCAGGTCCTCTTTCTGAACAAGATAGAAAAAAAGTCGCCTAAATCAATCATCACCATTAGATACCTTTTATCATCATTGGTAAATCTCCTATTCCATGCAGCACCATACCTTGATAGCAGACATGTGCTCGCCGTGCCTGTCCACCAGGTCCCTGTTGGCGCTGAGCACCTCCTGCAGCAGACGTCTGACCGAATCCTCGGCGCTCCACGACCTCTCGCGAGACTTCTCGTATATCTTCCGCTTCCGCGCGGTCTCCTCTCCGTTGATGGCAATCAGCTGCACGGCGAAAGCCTTCTTGCCGGCTGTCGCCGGGTGGCCGTGGAAAATAGCTTCGTCTTCGCCTCCTAGATATAAGAAAAGGGGTATTGTTCAGCTTCCTACAGCATTCTTTGAATGGTTTACGAATTGAAAGCTAATCTGTGCTCAGGTAGAGCATATAACAAGACTTAAGTCTAGAAACTATCTTTCCAAGTTTCTCACGTAACAGAACCCACGTACCAATTTCTGAACGGAATATTCAACCTTGTTCAGGAATACTGATCCACTCTCATCCGTCACGTGACATTATGGAAACGTGACGTCAGGAGTGGGTCAAAGTGTATCTTTTGATCATTTTGTCTGACGTACCTTTAAGTCTAGCCAAGCCAAACTTCTCCTTGTCGATCTCCCTGATCTCTGCCGGGTCTGTCCAGTCGACGATGCGGATTTCCAGGGAGCTCTTGCTGGAGACGAAGGTCTGGCACAGGTTGATGACTTCCACATACTTCTTGATGGCCATCTGTCGCTCCCTGGGGTCCGGGACTCTGTCGGGGTCGAGCTCGGCCTTCAGTCCGTGGTAGAAGAACAACGTCACAACTTTGGTTCCTTCGCGGATTTTCTGTATTACAAAAAAAAGTGAAGTCGGTAAATAAAGTCATTTTTCCACTGGTAAATTTGTAAATCTATTGTAGGTTACCGTTATTGTAAGTAAGATTACCATTTCGCTCTAGAATTTCTCGACAACCAACCGTAATGGATATTGTACTTCCCAAAAGATACTATTTACCAGTTTAATAAATATCCACTTCTTTCAATTTCAAAAGCAGATAAAATAGTGAACAAAATCTCAATCAGATATGAGATGTAACATTGATATAACCGGCTATATCTGAATAAATCTTGTAGTTGGTTCCGTAAAAGGCTAATATCACTGTATCACTAGTCCCGAGTGCAAATGTGGGCATCCAAATGAGACACCAGAGCACTATTTATTACACTGCAAATGTTATAATACTGAAAGGACCAAAATGTTGTTATCTATATCTTGCCTTCATCTTGAAAACATACTTCCTTCCGACCCACTCAACGCAAACGACTCCTCGTTATGTACTTTACTTCTTATAGGCAGCCCCTCCCTCCCATACTCTACTAACTGCAGCCGTATCTTTGATATTGTGCTTAACTATATCCACCACTCTGGAAGATTGGACCAATCTCATTAATGTTATGCTATAGGTATTGGTGCGCCAGCCACTTTCATTTTATGTTTATGTTATACTTTATGTCATCTTTATGTTAACATTTGTATTATGTTTTATGAGCAGCGGATTCACATAAGCACAACAAGTGCTTCCTATCCAATGCTCAAAAATCCATGTGAATAAAATAAAAAATAAAAGGCTAAAATACCTTGATTAGGTTATCCCGTCTGGCTTTCATTGCGTCCAGGGCCCTAGTCACGTGCTCTTCTGTGAATACTCCTGATAAATTTAAAATCAAAATCATGAAATCGAGGTCAAGTCATATCGTACCGTTACACTTGGAATTCGCAATACTTGTAGATATTTCATCTTTGCTGTGTGACGAGCCCTGTCCTATCTAGGTAATTCTATGCCAAAGTGGATTAGGGTTTAATAGAATCAGGCATGGTTCTGGATAGTCTCCGCGTATCCAAGAACGAAGCTTTGCTCTCAGGCACGCTTCTGGCTGGATAAGTGTGGGCTATCCAAGACCTTGCCTTAGTGGTTCAGAATATATAACACAGTGGTTCAGAGCACAGTGCCTCAAAATATAGCATGGTTCTGAAGACAACATGTACAGGGCCCTTACCGAACGGGTCGCTGCGTGTCTTGTAGTACCCGTTTGGAGATGAACACATGCCCGACTATATTCATCTAAAAAAGAACTCAGTTTTGCAATCGTACACCTAAACTCCAGGCAAGCGTACTACTCCACTGAGCAAAGACACTAGTATTTGGCGCGATACCGTGCCCTTACCGAAGGGGTCACTGCGGTAGATGTCTTGTAGCGCCGGTTTAGAGATGAACTCCAGGGCCTCGTCCGTGGCCAGCGCGTTCGTGATGCTGGACGTGTGGAAGACGATCTCCGAGGCCTGCTTCTCCAGAGCCAGCTGCTGCAGGAGGTACTCTTCCCGCTGCGTGCCCAGATAGGACTTCTCATACACCTGTGGGAATGTATATTGAAGACATAGATAGATTTAAACAATGTTTAGAGTTAGATGTTCCAAAGTTAGGTGTAACAAGTCGATCCGTGTAGTGTAGCTAGCTGCCGCCGCGTCGCGTGCCTGCGAAGCTGGTGTATGTGTTACACCGAAGGGCGGTTATCCTGGCTATACCGATACAGATACATATGTCATGTAGGTCATAGCAAAATACATGTGCAAAGATTTGTAGCTATACAAACCTTAGGTAGAGTGCTCATAGAAAATTCAAAATCTTCTACTGGATAAATTACGGATATAATTCCGAACGCTTTGAGCGACATCCATCACTCTTCTTCAGCGTCACTAAAGAACGATCTCCGTAATTTATCCAGACGTACTTGCAGTCTGAATTTTCTATGAGTATTGTTTACCCGGATTTCTAACCTTCATCAGTTCTCCTTTGGCGATGGACAGTCAGATATTTAGGACATTTTGTTAATAATTTCAACCAATGAAACAAGAACCCATGACAGATTTTTTGTCTCAAAGTGTTCCAGTTTTATTACCTGTCCCGGCTGTATATTCTCCTCCATCCTCCCGGTACTGAGGTACTGAACAAACTCCCAGAGTTCCAGGTTGGCCTTGAGGGTCACCAGGCTGCCGTGGCGGGGACAGCCCCGGATCTCAGACGACTCAAACGTGTAGTGGTCAATCTGGGGTAGGGGGTGTACGGTGAATAGTACATTGTACAACTATGTACGACTGCTACCTCAAGTTGGCTTGAATAGCAGCTGCTACTCACTCACTCGCTCACTCACTCACTCACTCACTCACTCATCCACCCACTCGCTCGCTCGCTCGCTCGCTCACTCACTCACTCGCTCGCTCACTCACTCACTCACTCACTCACTCACTCACTCACTCATCCACCCACTCGCTCGCTCGCTCGCTCACTCACTCACTCACTCACTCACTCACTCACTCACTCACTCACTCACTCACTCCTCACTCACTCACTCATTCTCTCCCATAGCTAATAGTCAGCCGTTGGGGCAGCATGATGGTTGGCAAAGGTTTTCACTGCTGACGATCCTCTTCCAGTCTGGCCATCTCTTTGGCTTGCAATATGATTGTTGGTTGCAGCGATGAGCTATGATGATGATGATTTCCACATTATGATTACAGGTATACCACAAAAAAGGTAATTTTGCGTATCCTTAAAGCATGGAGTACTAATGTACAAATCATTTCCTAGTTCCACGCTTGACGACAAAAAGCCTTCACACTATGTGTCTTTGTGCACATTGTACGTGTATTATGAAATATAACACTGACATGAATCCTGTGTTGTTGTGTTGCTGAGACCAAAGACAATTCATACCGGAGCATTTGTGACGAATCTCGCCAGGAGGCGCTTGTAGAAGTCGTGTTGTAAGTCGCAGCCCAGAAACAGGACCGGCCTTTCCTGGAACACTTTGGCAAGAAACTCCGCAGCTGCAACCTCACGGCCAGGTTCACCACGCAGGATGTCATCAAGGAACTGCCGAGATTCTTCCTGTTGTGGTATATAACATCTTTTCATCAATCATCTCATAATTGCGTCGAATGACTAACTGGCTATGACTAACTCCTTAAGAAAGCCACTTCAAGTTCAAGACTTTTTCCTCACTCCACCCTGGTGTAAAATGGATACCTGACTTAATGTAGTGTAATTAAAGCAGTGAAAGGAGAGGGAATGGGCCCAGGCTAGCTTCCAGATACAGTAGATCAACAACCCACTCTCCCTATTGTTGTTCTTATCTGTCTTCTGACTCTATACAAAATAACTCTTATCATTCCACTAACACTTTTAAAGGTACCGATACGAATGGAAGGATACTTCTTTCTTGTAGGTAGGTAGGAAAGGGAGGAAGGAAGGAAGGAAGGAAGGAAGGAAGGAAGGAAGGAAGGATGGAAGGAAGGAAGGAAGGAAAAAAGGAAGGAAGGAAGGATACTAAAGTATTATAAAAAGCACGGGAGACAGACGTACGCTGCAGCGGGCCGTGTAGCTGGTGTCCCCGAACAGTTTGACGATCAGGTGCCTGTGGAGCGCCGGCCAGTCCTTCATCACCTGCCCTACCTGGATCAAGGAAGACTTTCACATCTAAGACACCTTAACCTAATCTCCGAGCAGATCTTTTGGTGGAGGTAAGACAGTATCAAATTGGCCAGTCTGTAACCATTTCCCCACCATTTTTGAAAAGAAGTGCTCCTGCCTGTGCGAGTACCGGCAGATCTTCGCTGGGGAAATGGTTACAGACTGGCCAATTCCCCACCATTTGGGTTACAGACTGGCCAATTTGATACTGTCTTACCCCCACCAAAAGATCTGCTTGGAGATTAACATTAACCATGTTGTAGTTTTTAGAAAATATTTACGAAGAAAATAATTTTCCAATTTTCCCCCCTTTTACATCGTACTATATAGGCTAGTTAAGGATAGACAGTTATAGGTTGTAATTATTCCAAGTGTTATGATAAGTGTACATACGTTTAATATGTGTTAATAGGTTTGTAATGATATGTATTTGTAACTTTTATGACTCCAGGATGAATAGTGCAGTGTATGGAGATCTATCAAATAAACAATCAAATCCAATTCTGATTCTACTTATTTCTGAGAAGAGGCAAAATATTGATCATTTAATATCATCATCTTCATTACTCCGTGAAGGAGGTCAGGACCTCCGGACGTGACGGAGTGCTGTGAAGAGTCGTTTTTTTCATGTTTGCAGTCAAAACACTGGGTTCTCTTTGTGTAATCGGCATGCAATTTTATACGCCGTCTGCGGGCATGCCCGTGTTGATGCACGAATGTGTATTTTTGCCGTTGCTGCTTTCGCGTACAATGTAATATTGCAGATGCACCCCTACAATTATGAGGCAAATTGGAATGGTCCAAAAAAACCCGTTGTTTGGAATAGCGGTGGGGGGGTGGAACTTCAGGCAGAACTGTCAGGGGCCGATAAGTGGTACCACGGCAGCAACACTCGCGGTGCTGGCCGCAACTGTTGCTGGAATTTGCCAGTCGCGCTTAATAAGTAACAGGCACGGACGGTGGGGCTGTCTTTGTTACTAGTGACACGACCATGATAGTCCGATCTTTATGTGAATGTAATTAAAATGAACTTCGAACTTGAAGCACAGTATCTTTACACGCCCTGAGAGCAGTAATGGATTTAGGTCTTTTTATGTTTTATGCTTGTGACGCGCCCTCATTGTATTAACCATTGCCTTATGTCTGCACAGTAGGTCTGGCGTTGACGCTTGGGATTATTTTTGTTGCAAAATATAAAACTTCACGGAGGATTGTCACCTATGGCTTCTTGTTTATTAATTCAATCTGTAAATACCTGGTCGAGTCGAATTTTCTCTCCCAATGCAAAGCCCAGACTCCCTCGTCCCCAGAGCAGCCTCTCCAGAAGTTCGTCCTGATTGGTCGTGAGGATAAGCGGGAACGTTCCCAGGGTGCGGAGGACGTTGTGCACCTTGGCCGGCCGTTGGGGAAGGTTTGTCATGAAGTCGGACTCAAGTTGGGCCAGACCACTGATGCCGTTCTGAGCGGAGGGGGTAGTCAGAAATGAACAAACATCAAAAGAAAAAAAAATGCCCCATAGTTAATTATTTAGAACAATCATTATCATAATAAAAAGCTAAAAAAATGACTTGTTATGAATTTGTTGTTTTCTTCATTGCACATATAGCTGTTTACGTCTATGCATTTTCTCACTGCCATTCATATACAGGCTAGCAAATTTGATACTGTCTTTCCCCCACCGAAAGATCTGCTTGGAGATTTTTAATACGTAGAGGCTAATTTAAACAAACCTGTATTCGCCACCAGTGGTCCAGCCTAGCGGGCGACGGGAGTACTGACAGTTGTTCGCCGACGAACAGCACGAGCCTCCCGCTGCCGATGTGCTGCCGGAGACGCGTGAGGGCGTCGTACATGTCCTGTCTGGGGTCCGCCATCTTCAACCGTCAAACTCGCTATTCTAACAACCTAGAACTCCAGCGATGTAGAACTGAAAGATACAGAAACAGCGCTGTCCCGTACATGACGCGCTTGATTAACAACTAATTGTACATTGACATGACTAACGATGCCTTCCTCACTCTATTATTGCAATTTTTAGTTTTTGCTAGAGTTTACATGTCCTTTATAGTTACCTTCATTTTACATTTGTATTGAGAGTTGTTTTTAATATGTGAGATTTACATCTATTTTAATATATGATATGATGCCTTAAATTCCGATATTCTAGTACGTGTTTTAAAACCTGAGCTTCGTTTTGTAAATGTTAACACCCCAATTCAGCCTATGGGCCGCGAGATGTGTTTGACATGTTAGTTTATGTACATGTATGTATGTATGTATGAACAAATAAACCATTACTATCTTCGTCTTCAATACCGTGTCACTCTGTCAGAGACGTTTTTTATAAGGGGCACGGCAAATAATTCAAGACCTTTATGAAAATTCAAGTTTTATTGGGAAAGGGACTCACGGGCCTGGTTAGGCCGAGTTGCGCCCTTGTAACATACAATATGCATTATGAAAATTAGAGAGACACTATAAAATCTACATATTCCGGTAAATATTAAAAGTCGTCTTCATATTAGTACGTTTATCACAAAGGAAAGCCATTGTCAAAGTATGACATGTCTGCACACGTTTACTAGAAATCAATAAATCATATCTCTGAGTAGACGTCGGCACCCGAACGCCTCTCACTATAATCAAGAAGTACATACATATTACTTATATATATTATATATGCGCGAAAACACGCAGAACGAATTATTTGTGAAATTCCCCTTTGATTTTAATTGTGACCTCCATTATATCTAAAACCATCTTATCTCACCCTTGGCTTTTCATACGGTTACTATGTATAGTATTACACGGCACAGAAGTTAACGTACCGTCCCTTTCCTTTCGGCGAGCGCCGCGTAACAACAGACAAATTCAATACGCCTATCGTATGTGTGTTTTACTCTGCAAACAGGTGGGCTAAAGTAATCATGACTCAACCATTGTTTCCCACAGAAGGGTGCTTCTGAGAAATGGCCAACTCAGAACCGCTCACAAATCAATCCATACAAAGTACACCATGTCTACTTCAATACAGACTGAACCTAGTAGTAAGATCGTAACAGTAGTATCATGTCAACTGTAGAATCAAGTACTAGTATTTGGATTGTCCATACTTGTTTGGTGGTCATGATCCAAGCATTTCAATAGTACGTACGAGTTCTATACCAAGATCAACCAGGTGAGACTGTTGCTGCGGACGTAAACTAACCAGGATGGTACCCTAGCCGTGGACGACTCTGTAACCCTTTTTGCATGATTATCATGCAAAAAGGGTTACAGAGTAACAAACAAACCCTCCCACCGGCCCACCGACCCTTAGAGTACAATAAAGAACACCTACCCGCCTGTAGGTCCAGTCTAACCCCCAGGTGACAGGAAGATTTACTAGCCTCCCTTACAGCCTTATAGGTGTGTAAAGGCTGCCTGGCAAGGCGACGAAACGTCCGCTCTTGCGATCTGTTCGACACAACTGCCGCACACTGGGAGGAACCCGCAAGTTTCGATCATTTCGAATGCGGAAGTGATGACGCCGGGGAATCCCCCATGGAAAACACCTATGACAGGATCATGTTCTTTTCAATAGCAATGAATATTGACACCAGAAGGTATATTTACATGTCAAATGTTGTTCTACACCTCATCTGTATCCTTGTTTTTAAATATGAAAGGCTTTTAAGACGATGTTTTGGAGACGCTCGTGCGCTGAAATCCGCCGTTCATAGCAGCAAATGACAATGACGCCACCTTGCGACTTCATGTTGTACGACACGAGACCGTGGCTGCGTGTTTGGCATACAGTATTCACCAATAGCCTGCACCAGGCCTTTCTACGGGAATACGGATCGTAGAATTCGGCAAAAAAGAGAGTAAAATTGGCCAAGGGAGTCCGGCCGCGGGAAAGTAGTTTCTTTCCCTTCTAACTGCGCGGCCAGTCCAACTATAAGGCGGCCAAACTCCCATAGCAAATATTCTCCTATATATAGCCAGCAGAGGTAGTCTGGTAGAGAATTCGCCAATACTACGTCTGGAAACATACTTCACTTCGGTTACTTCTGTGAAGCGCCGCGTGCCCTTGAGCACTACCCCAACCTTGATATTCAGCGAAAGGGTTACTGAGATGAAAGTCAAACATAGAACAAAAACTGCAAAGCTGAACCGTATGCCGTTTGGATCTGCTAAACCCTTTATTCTCGGTCCAACGAATTCGTCAGCTTCACTCAGACCACAGATTAGGGTAAAGTACTGAAAAACATCGGAACAACAAAATGCTCATGAATTATTCCGAGTGTTACTTCCACATCGTGAGTGAAAGATTAAAGCGCTCTTTTGGAACGGGTCATTCATGACCAGTGGAGCGAACACTGAAGATCTTCACGGCTGCATCGACAACAAGTCTGCAAGTAACGGTCAGAACCAGACGTGTTTTCAGTCAAGCAAGCAGGCCTTTCCTTCATTTCCTTGAGTCAATGAAGGATCTGTAGAGCGGAAAGCGAATCGAAGGTTAGTGTCTTTTTTAACACGTCTGTCTTGTCATTTTCTGTATGTAACGTTAATCATCTAACTTAAAACAACACGTTTCTATAATCTACGGAGAAAGAATACGACTAGATTAATATTGCGGTGAAAAGAATACTGAAAAATTTCCCCGTAAGTCATGGAATTATCATGGAAGTCCATGTGTGTTGGTAGTAATCATAGTATAATTCTGAACTTTATGCCAACACAAGGGCGCATAAGGATCAAAATTTCAACGAACCTGGCCTGGTGAAGGAGACTGTGGTACGTCGTTCAGCATTGTACTAATCTTGGTGAGGAGTCAACCTCCAAACACGCGACCTTAAAATCGCCGCTCAAATATTACAAAATTTAAAATTCCAAGAAGGATCTTAGATAACTGATTACAACTATATATTTCAGGCAACCTTTGAGAAGTGAACGTGAACAGACAAACAGAGTTAGAGATGTCTGTTGTCCACCAAGTGTTGGACCTCCTGGACAGCCGCACCAGCCTGGCCCTCCTGTTGGTCAGTCTGCTCACGTACTGGTACTTCAGACGGCCCAACAACGTTAACCTCCCGCCAGGCCCGATGTGCTGGCCCGTCATTGGAAGTCTGCCCAGTATCGCTAAGGTACGGAACAGATGTAGCCTGACTACATCATGATTCTAGGCGTCCTGCTAGCGCTTGATCTTGAAAAGATCTTGAAAAGTTACGGGAGTGCGCTGTGCCCTTATTGTTTCCTCATCAGGTGCAGTAGTTCGGCTTCCTTGAACTTGTCAGGCTCTGATATTTCTGTTCTGACCTGAGGAAACCGTTCCAATCTCTGACAGTCTGAGGAAAATCTTGATCTTGAAAAGTATTTTCATTGGTACCATGCTCAGACACGGTTTGGAACAGTCCATTGTTACAATTGTCAGGCCACCAGAAGCTTGGTGACCAACATCATGACGGTCTAGATCTTCAGCTAAGTAGAGAGCATCTTAATCCTGTTGATTGATTTATGCACGTGTGGACCAATTATTGAACCTGTGTATGCCAGTATGGTTCTGGATATATAGTGCAGTTCCTGATATAACACGTACTATAGCACCTGCATCCAGGATTAAGTGTACAGTCCTTTTACCATGTTAAGGTTCGCTAATCCTCCCTGAATATACATTGCAATATCCAAAGTTTCAACGAAATGGTAGAAAGAAAAATCGTACTAACGTTTCTGTGATCGCCCTTACGTAGACCGACGACCTCCACCTGAAATTCCTGGACTGGCAGAAGGAATATGGACCTGTCACGTACTTCCGTATGGGGATGCTGGTGAGCTCTATAGTGTTTTGTTTTCAGAAATACAGTTGTTAGAGGACGTGAAAATGGAACGACGCATAGATTTTTTTTGTTACAAAAGCGCTAGTATGATTGTTCTATACTGCTGTTGGTGTAGATATTTTGTGAGAGAGAAAGCCAGCACTGGCACTGATGTTGTGTAATATTGTTTTTGCTGTCTTGTTGACCTTAATTAGAATTTCTTTTGCAAACGCCAGAACAAAGTATTCAAGTGCATTGTAAAGTGGCACATACCGTGACATACTTTAACTATGGGAGCCATTTACTGAAAATATTTAGGCCATACTAATGGCCCATACATACAATGCCAGTATCTGCGGTAATGCGGATCCAGTCTTAATATGATGAAAAAAAGTTCCATTCTATATATACGGTTATAGGATGCCGTGGTGCTCGGTGGTTATGACGTGATCTACCAAGCCCTGGTGAAGCAGGCTGAGGCGTTCTCCAGCAGACCCGTCCACCTAGCGATTGTCAGCAAGATTTCAAAGAACAAAGGTGGGATTTCCCTTCTCAGGAAGCTAAGAGCAGATGAAAGTGACCAGTTTTTGCTAGCCTGGTTACCAAACCTATAGCTTCCGAGTCCTACATTCTCTCCGACACGATATAGGACACGGGAGCTAATAGGTTTGGTAAACCAGGCTACAGTTTTGCCTAACTCTCATCATTTTTGGCGACGCCTAAGAGTGAGCCTATCAATAGCAGAGTATGTAATCTACCAATTCCTGAGAAATTTGTACTAATTCCACGCGTGTGTAGTGAACCTCTGTCTTACTCAAAAGCATTGCAATAGGAATTAATTAATGGCTCCTTAGCTTCAGATCTGGCCAGGAAAGATGTCGTATGTGTCAACCACAAGAATACTGGGTCACGCAGGATTACCTCTGTACCCGTGAGCTCTATAAGCTAAAGGACCATCTTGGTTTGGCAACATATAATAACGAAACAAACTGCAATACCGTATATATATATTTATTTTTACATCACCACATGCAATTAACATACAATCGTCGCTATGGCAATAGTCTTTATGATCTTCCTTGTTAATTCTCCAATAACAGGTATAGCCATGATCCCGTCCGGTCCGCTGTGGAAGGAGCACCGTAAGTTCGCCTTACTAACTCTGAGGAGCTTCGGCTTCGGGAAGCGAGGTGCGGAGGCCAAAATCCTGGAAGAGTCTGCCGTCTTGTGCCAAGAGATCCTCAACACGGGCGGCAAACCGTTCAGCATCACCAGGCTAGTGCTACTGTATATCTGCTACTTAAAGGATCATCTTTACTTTCATCTAATGTTAACTCTCAAATACTGACATTATTGCACAGCTATATCTCTCTGAAACTAAGCGATTTAACAACTGATTTATATTTCTGTATTCATTTATAATATCTTGATAATAACTAAATTCTGTTCTCTTGTTACCTGGACGATACCCATGTTTTGTGATGTAATTTTTATTTCATGTCTAGTGGTGACGCGAATATAAGCATATTGCTTGAGTGCGTAACCACTATGTATTGTATTTTTTTGCATGTTGAAATAATAAAAAAATCACCAGGCTGGTACAGAAGGCTACCACCAACGTCATCTGTTCGCTGGTCTTCGCGCATCGCTTCGAGTATGAAGACCCGCAGTTTTTGCGGATCATGGAAGACTTCGACACCATTGCCGGGACCAACTTCATCAACATGCCCGAGAACATCTTTCCTTTCCTTAGGCATGTGATGAACAGTGCGGACAAGGTAAGATAAATATTATACGTTAACTTGGGCAAAACACTAAATCAACTGTGATTTTTACTCTGTGAAAGAGATCAAAATCATATCCAGTTGCTTGAGTAACTGCTTTTTGGCGTATTGTATTACCTGGATGTCTAACCTTCATCGACAGATCAGTATGAGTCTGGTCTGTACGTTCTCAGCTGCAACTCACGATCCCCTTTGCTGTATTGGCACTCTGTAGTTTGGAATGTCGTCTGCTAGTATGCGCGAGATGATGCGCGTTGTTTTTTTACATACCGTAGCAGTTTTCATAGGTCATATAGTATTTCAGAAAACACCCCTACTTTGATGGACTTGTGTAACAGGTCATTAATTCGTCAGCCTAGTTGTGCTAACGGTGCCTATCCCAAGGGCACAAGGTTGATAACACAGCAGGATTCGAACCCGGGACCTCTTGGTTCTGGTCCGAATGCTCTGCCGTTACGCCACACGACCCCAATGACCCCCCATGTTATATAACAAACTATTATATAACCCCCGTTTCTCATTTTCTTTTCTTTCACAGCTGCTGAAGGCAACCGCCCTCCCTATGGACTACATCCGGTCACAGATGAGGGAACATCAAGAGACCTTCGACAGGAACGACATCCGGGATTTTATCGACGCGTTCCTGTTGGAAATGAAGACCCAGGACCCGAGTACCAGCACCTTCACCGAGGACCAACTGGTGGCTACGGTGTTTGACCTGTTCATAGGAGGCACGGAATCCACATCGACTGCTCTGCGATGGGTCAGCCTTCTTATGATGGCGAATCCGGATATACAACGAAAGGTATGGGACCTTTATCCATCGACTATATAGCACTATAGAAACTCAATTGACTCTGCCAACTTAACAAAACAGAGTTGTTTCTCGAAAATGGCTAATTGTCCTGTTCTACGCTCTTGGGTTACCTAGCTAAAGGTTTAGCAGAGGCCCTGACAAATGTACATGTATACCGGTTAAAGGTTAAACAAAAGGATGACTTGGAAGAGGACGGTCATGCCAGACCTTGCAGAGATTGGTTGCAGATGAAGGGGATGCAAAAGACAGCAACAACCAGAAGACTGTGGAGGATCATGACGGCCCGCCTCAGTGCCAAGCACTAAAATGCGGCGACGATGATAATGGGCGGTCTTCTTGGACAAGTTTGACTGTACCTTTACTTGCCCCTACAGGGACAGGAAGAGATAGACAGTGTTTTAGGCCCGGACCAGCCCCCATGTCTCACCGTGCCCAGCTGCCCTACACACAGGCCGTCCTGGCTTTACCACCGGCCATGGGTGGTCATCTTGGACAGGTTTGACTGTACCTTTACTTCCCTCTGTAGGTACAAGAAGAGATAGACAGCGTGCTAGGTCCGGACCAGCCCCCGACCATGTCTCACCGTGCCCAGCTGCCCTACACACAGGCTGTCCTGACTGAGGTGTTCCGCTTCGCCTGTATCGTCGCTGTGATCGTGCCCCACACCACGACGCAAGACACTAACCTCAACGGGTAAGGACTGTTGTGTTCAAAACATGGCCTCTACCAGGCTTCGGGAAGCGACTGGAAAGATTAGAAATCGGCCAGAAAGACTGAGAACATATACAAGGGGAGTCGGTCCGTGCCGAGAGAACATAATTATGTTCTCTATTCTGAACCGTGCCTGTTTAGTTTCTTTTGGCCTGAATAGGTTGGGGTTAGGATCAGACACGGTTTTGAATAGTCTCCTTGTATCCAAGAACATAGATTTGTCACAGTCCTGGATATTGATAAAGTAATGGTTTGTTTACGACAGCAAATTGAGTCATATAAGCAGATGTGTCATACGACATTCAGCTGTTTTGTGACGATTTCAGAAGGCTGTCATGGATCGTTAATAAGATATGTGCCAAATAGACACAGAAGATCACATTTGTTAGCTACGAGTCATGTCCAACTGTTTGACAGAAACATCGTGTCATGTTCCAGATACCACATTCCAAATCAGACCATGGTCCTCCCCAACCCCTGGTCGGTTCACTACGATGATAAACAAGCTATGTACCAACGAGGGGGTTTAAAGAGACGGCCTTCTCCATCTGTTTGACAGAAATATCGTGCTATGTTCCAGATACCACATTCCGAATCAGACCATGGTCCTCCCCAACCTGTGGTCGGTTCACTACGGCGATAAACAAGCTATGTACATGTACCAACGAGGGGGTTTAAAGAGAAAGCCTTCTCTTTAAACCTCCTTTGTACCAATAGACATAGAAGAACACATTTGTTAGCTACGAGTTATGTCCAACTGTTTGACAGAAACATCGTGTTATGTTCCAGATACCACATTCCAAATCAGACCATGGTCCTCCCCAACCTGTGGTCAGTTCACTACGACGAGAAGCTGTTTCCTGATCCGTACAACTTTTCTCCAACTCAAAAATTGACTCACCAGAAATTTTCGACTGAATGACGGGGGGCGATATCGACTTCAGACAACCTTTGACCCTTTGCTGACGTCACACGTGGGAAAAATCACGTGTCCACAGCATTTGAGTCAGATAGCTAAGGAAGACTCGAAAATTTCTGGTGAGTCAATTTTTGAGTTGGAGAAAAGTTTAAGTTTTTTCATAATGTAATATACCAACTCAGATGAACTTTCATGCTGATGTGGTATATATTTCAGATACCACATTCCAAATCAGACGATGGTCCTCCCCAACCTGTGGTCGGTTCACTACGATGAGAAGCTGTTTCCAGACCCGTACAAGTTTGACCCCACCCGCTTCCTGGACGGGAGGGGGCAGTACAAGAAGGACGAGCACGTCATGCCTTTTTCTGCAGGTTTGTTCAACTATCTGCTTCAGACCACTTTTTCCAGTCCGGTCCCTGTTCAGGGGTTACAAGTCCGGACCCTACCTTGCTTCTCTAATCTTTATTGAGCACTTTGCCATACTGTACAGTACAAGAAGGACGAACACGCCATGCCTTTTTCTGCAGGTTTGTTCAATCATGTGCCATCAGACAACTTCTTCCACCCCGGGCCCTGTTAAGGGGTTACCAATTCAGACTGGACCGCTTTTTCCACCAACCCCTTTTACAGCAAATTTGTGTGTTCCTTCTTAATTTAGCACTTTGTCACAGTATACAATTTACCAGGAACATGACCATAACCAAATGAAAAATGAGCATTCTGTATAACTTTTTTTCTGTAGAAACTTGGCTGCTCTTTGTTGAGATTCCTGTACCATACTTGATGCACAGATTATTTGCACATTTGCCTTGATAGCTTTTCACTGCTGCATAACAAATGGTCTTCATCAACAAATTGATCATGAAAGTGTAGTGGGAATTTCCACTTATAGGTGAAAGGGTTTGATCAGTCCCATTGCTTATGATAAGTACCTATGTGTAGCTTTATGATTCTGTAATGTGTCTTTTTTCCCCACAGGACCGCGGATGTGTCTTGGTGAGCAGCTGGCTCGCATGGAACTCTTCCTGTTCTTCACTTCACTCATGCAGCACTTCACCTTCAAACTGCCAGATGGCGCTTCTGTGTCACCGCATGAGGGGATCACTGCAGGCATACGTGCTCCCAAACCTTTTGATATGATAGCCGTGGCCAGGAACTAAACAATCAGCACCATGAGGGGTATCATGGCGTAGCGGCAGAGTGCTCGACTCGTAACCAAGAGGTCGCGGGTTTGAGTCCTGACCTGCCACCGATCTTGTGCCCTTGGGAAAGGCACTTTACACGACTTTCCTCACTTCGCTCAGGTGTAAATGAGTACAATGTATTGTAATGTCCCCTGTGTTGGTGGCGGCATTAATATAAGTTGAAAAAACTTGAGTGTGCCATCACCACGTCTTGCGATTACATGTTCGAATATAAAAAAAAAAATCAGCACCATCAAAACAATGATGGATATCTTAGTACATCTACGTGTTAAGGAAATGATGGGGAAAAGTTACTAACTTGATTTTGATGAGTTGGAATACGCCCTGGACTTAAGGAACAGGTGGTTACATTTTTGGTCTAGATTCAAATAATGAATTTTTTTTAATCTTTTTTTCTGTTGATTTGATAATCCTAAACACATGAGGATCATGAAATGTTACACTTCTGTTATTACTATATATCTATATCTATGTTATAAGTTATTACTAATACATTGTATTATAATTAATTAATAGTGCATGTTTATAAACATAAGAGATAATGTGCTAGGGAGGACAGAAACATATCTAGCTTGTAGTACTATAGTAGGTCCTCCACCACGATCTAACAAAGTATAGACCTAACTGTTGAAGACTCTTACTGCAAAATCAGGACACCATGAAATTCAATATAGGTCTTGTATTTCTATTGTACATTGTTGTTCACCAGTTAACAACTCAGTGCATGTAGCTATTTCTGATCAACAGTATCTCTTCCACCCAACTCCTGAAAAAAATATTAAAGATATTAGTACAGTAAACCAAATAATGTTGAGCCCGTAAAACCTGATAGTATGTTGGATCCTGTAATGTTTTCCAATGAAGAAATATGGTATACTTCTTACTAGCACATGTAACATTACATATAATACACAAATAGTAGTGAAATGGTGACTCCATGATTTTTTTAAATGCGTAAATGTGAATGTTAGCGCTGCCCCCTACCTGCTGAAGTGTGTTCTGCAGCAGCATCAGAGTCTGCACGGCCAGTTTCTGGCATTCTGCATCTGTGTCCTTCTCCAACACATCTGGAGAAAGAAGGGAACATTAAGACTTACATGTACAATTGGATGTATATGACTCTTCTTGATCATGACTAGCCTCTACCAAGCTTCGCGAAGTGGCTGGCGGCTGCAACTCTCCTGGCATATCATCTGTCTATTTGGCCAATTTGTACTCTTTCCAGTTGCTTCCCGAAGCCTGGTAGCTAGATCACAACATCAATACTATATGCAACAGCAACAATGAATACAGCATTTTATCTTTAATTTGAAAGAATGGGGATTGTAAATAAAGAAACAGTCAGAGTTATATAGTGTTTAATATTTGACATCTTGGGCATCTTTTCACACCTTGTAACCACTGCTGCCCTTCGACTATCTCCTCCTGGAGGTCAGAGGTCAGGACATGGGCGGGGACACTCAGGATCACCATGGAGACAGCAAACAACAAAGACTGACGCACATACCTGGACAAGAAAAAGAAAAAGAAAAATAAAATATTTAAACTTTTTTACACAGACTTAAGGTACCCTATAATAATATCATCCATTATCAATGAAACATGGGTGTGGTTACCCTTGGCAACATGTCTATCAGAATCCTTCCTCTATTTGCAGGCATCTGTAAAAATACTGCAAATATACAGTACTACAACTCACGGTTCCGTGTGGAAGCGTAGCACCCAGACAAACTCCAGCAGGGACTTGGCCATTTGTCTTGCAACCTGGTGTAAAGAAAACAGCAATCTACATGTTTGTGTTATCTTCGTTAAAAAGAGAACTTTGAGATACACAAAAACTTAACTTAAGGCAACTCAAGAGTCTCAGAAAAGTCATGAAACACAAAAAACTGAAAAGCAAAAGATTATAAATTTACAAACCTACCATAGTGTTTGCAGCAGCATACAGTATCGCCCCTAGTGAGTACACCAGCCTGCCCAACACCAGGGCATCCTCTCCTAACATGTCCAGGGTGTTCTGACGACTGTTGTACAAGCAAAAACAGAAACAGACGTTATTTTTACTTTTTTCATAGTAATCACTAATGTGCAAGTCAACAGAGATGGTTCAAATATTAGTCCTTGGAAGGCCGGTTCAAATTTTCTTTACACTGTGTGTTGAGTCTTTCTTACATCTTCTTAACTTAAAGCTTGTGTCACTGTGATTTTTTCATACCATTCAATCATCATCATCATCATTAATCATCCTCCGAGGAGGTGTAGCATACAAAGTTAGACCTCCAGAACTTTCTGTCCTTTCAATATTGTGTTGTATTAAATCATTGAATCAAGGTATTACCTAGTACACATGTAAGAACTTATAGAAAGTCTTCCATAGAACTTTCACCTGTCATAGTTCTTGAGAAGTGGGAAGAAGAAGTGCCCGGCCACGTGGTGAAACTTGTTGGGTACTGGGGTTGGATCTGGTTTGCTGGCTCCCTAAAACACAAGACATTACAAGATTGCCTTGTTGATTATGATTATGTCCAAGCACAATGATTCAGTACAAATATACATACATGTACTTCTTTGATGATATTTACAAATTTAGTAACTTTTTAAGTTACTATACATGGCAGTTACCAGTCTTCCAACAAAATAAAGAAAATTAAATTGAATAGCAAAGTTCTTTATTCACAACCACTTGTTTCACAAGAGCCATGTGTCATTTTCATCAGGGCAATTATGACACACATGCACTGAAGCTGTTACTGGTTATGGTAGACTATGCACTGAAGCTAGATGTTACTGCTAACAATGCAGTCCCAAACATAATGCTCTTGCTAAATAAGTGTTCACAAATAAATACAATGTAATTTGCATTCACCAACCTTACGGAATTTATCTTGGGTGCAAACGATTTGTAATGACAGATGGCACCCAGACTAGACGAAATTATACATGGAAAGAAAACTCATTGAATCTCCAGCCAAGTCTTCTACAAAATTGAAAGACCGATCACTGTCTTAGACAGCTACCTTAGCAAATCTCCTGGTCTTCTTCTCAATCCTCCTCTGTACAACCTCCCTCCAGTGTCGGGGTTCCCCAGCCTGTTCAGCAGGGGCAGGGAGAGGCTGCACCAGAGGTTCTGGTCTCGTGTCCTTCTTCTGTTCCACTGGCTGGGAAAGTTCCTGAGCGGCTCCTACTAAAACCTGCAGGGAGCAGAGAGGAGAAAACTTTTTTTAAATTTTTATCACTAGAAAACAAGCAGAAATCGGAAAAATGTAAGAAATGTAGGATAAATGTAAGGAATGAAGGATAAGTAACTGCATTTATTGAGTGGTTTATTGCTGTGCATTCTTTGTTTGTTTGTTTGTTTGTTTGCTTGTTTGTTTGTTTCTTTGTTTGTTTGTTTGAAAATGACTGACCTCCAACATGTCCAGCCTTTGCATTATAGTGTAGTTTGGTGCATAGAACTCAGTAGTCAGATACTGAGAAATCTGTAAACAAAAAAACAAGTTAATGTTGACTGACAAAGTACAAATATATATACAAAGTCATGTAACATAATGTCATGTCTTTCCTGTGAATCTTTTTTTCTCTTTCAGATTTCAGATTAAAATGAAGTATGGCACTACATGTAACGTTACATACTATACTAGCAAACATACATTATGTACTGTACAATATTCAACATGAAATAATAAGTAAACCTTTTCAGAAATTTAAAGACATATAAACCTGCAGAGGACAGAAGACTGCTGTGGCCAACATGGCTTCTCTTCTGAGCCTGGTGAATTCTGGGATAGCATAGCTGTTCTGTAGATGCAGCAGAATTTTCACCAGCTCCACACAGACCTGTGAATTTTGGGATGAATAAATATACAATGCTTGCAAATAGGTAACATTACTATTGGCGAAATACAATCTCTTCAAGCAAAAAAATTATGTGCGAAAAAAAGCAAAAGAATCAAAATTCACAAACTGTCACTGTATTGCAACTACATTTACTGTGTGCTTAATGCCATCTTAACATACATGTACTGTACATATAGTTTATGCCTTTGCGCTTTTGCTAGTTCTCACCTCTTCTAAGTTGTCTGGTTGTCTTCTCACTAGTTGCTCACAAACACCCAGACAGGCCTCTACTCTATCCCCATCCTCATCAGCTATGAGACCTAAACAAAAAAATCAATTCTCAATAGAAATTTAAAGTACAAAACCTGTTCTTGAAGTGATACTACCGGTACTAGTACAATGTCATTGTCATATGTCATTGTCAATTGTCATATGTCATTGTCAATTGTCATATGTCATTGTCAATTGTCATATGTTATTGTCAATTGTCATATGTCATTGCTACCGAATGTAACTTAAATCTATAGTGAGGACAGCTTAAACAGACACCTCAAGTGCTTAACCAACAGTTAAGTCTTCATACTACACATTACAAGTTTCTCACCATCAAGACAGTCCCTGATGTAGACAGGTGGCTTGACCTTGGACATTTTGACGTCTTCCGGCATGTCATATGGCTCAAGGTCATCATCACTGAAAAAGAGTTCACAATTTTTCAGTAAAATCTAAACCAGGAAAGCATCACATCTGTCAACCATTCAGGTCAAATGAATCCAATCTGTCAGCCAATAAGGAGACAGAATTCAATCATATCTGTCAGCCAATCAGGAGACACGGTTCAACCACATCTGTCAGCCAATCAGGAGCACAGTTCAATCCTATCTGTCAACCAATCACAAGAAATCATTTGAGCAAATACAAATCTGATTGGTCACATGTATACCTGTCTAGCTCAGAGTCAGAACCCTCCTTGTTTTGAGGTGACGTCACCTTCCCTTCCTGAGCATCTGAGGAGGTTTTGGTAGAGTCCTCCTTCTGTGGCAGTGGTGTTTTCTTCAGAAAGACTGTTTCTGTTTCCTGCTCAACTTCAGGTTCATCTCCAGGATCAGGGGGAGGTGTGAGGAGCGAAATCAGCCTTGTAGTTTCTTCATCCTCCTCATACTGAAGAACAAACAGAATAAAATTTGTAATTTATCAATTGTGGAAGCGTAGTAAGGGTTAATATAGCACAAAAAGTTTTCAAGAGACAGTACTAGTGTCCTTTAGCCTGGAGTCCAGTCTTAGCTTTATTCTGATACGCCACCAACAATAGGCTCAGGCTAACAAGGCTGGACTCCAGGCTAAGTGTCCCTGGAAACAATATCATTCAGCAGGTCTAGGCTGAACAAACTATATTGCAAATATCTGTTTTAGTACCTCAAACTTGAGTGTCTGTCCATCAGGGTCTACTGTCTTGGTTACACTCTCTGCTACAATCATGCCAAGACGACGGATCTAGATAAAAATATGGAAAAGAGTGAAATTAGAGAATATATTAACTGTTCTGCATGACAAATACAATACTACCGGACCTACTACCGACCCAGGTATGTCAACTGCTTTGATGCATACAGGTGTATGTGCTTCATACCTTAACGACAGGACTGTCTATGTGATGTTGAACTCCCTCCAGTAGTCTTCTAATCAAGTCTGTAAGAATGAAAACAACAAATGTTATACCAATAAAAAACACTCCTAAGACAAAAAAACGATACACAGATTAAAATAGGTGATACTCTTTTGGCTAATATTCAGCCCACAAGTTTACATGTACAACATGTATTATGCAGCAAGATTAAACTGTAATTTCCGACATAAGAAATTGGACTCACCCAAATTTTTGACTCTACAACTCCAGTCTTTGTCAAGGAATGAGCAATCCACCGCTTCCGTGACGTCACTTGTGTTGGAAATTACAGTTTAATCTTGCTGCATAATGACTTCTACCAACACAGATGAACTTTCAAGATATGTACAACATGTAGTTGGTTACTCGTGCTGACTGAGAAACAGACATCTCATGACAACACTGCTTACCATACTACCATGAAAAATGTTTTACCTTGCTTGTGTTCCTGTTTGTCCTTGCTGTTGAGATGTGCGAGCCCAGCCAGGATGGCTTTAGACAGGTAAGCATGCTGGTCGTATGAGGTGTGTTTAATGGCACTGGAGTCACTCCATACTTCCAACAGTCTCAGGAGTGTCTGGGGGAAGAGGTTTACTAAAGATTATTACAATATTTTCACAGTGGATAGGAACCTTCCAATGAACTGTGATATTGTAGGGTGATCATGAATGCATGTGAGGAAACTGCTAGTAAGTCTAAAACTTCCAAATGATGGCAAGACACTCACTTACTCACTACCCGGGTTATTGTTACTAAGATAACAACTTGACCAAGAGCCAAAGCAATGCTTGTACACCTGCCTACAGAAATGGACTAACACCTGAAATGGACATGGGTGCCACCCTATACACAATGTGTTGTGGGAAGGACTTATAATATGATAGTCAAAACAAACTCATAAAGATTTAGACAGAATTTTTAGCTAGTCACATTATAGACTACAGTCTCCGGCAACACACAAATCACGTCTGGGAGCACTACAAATAGATAGAAGAGGTTATTTAGAAAAAAGTGGTAACATCTGTGTCCATAATATCACCAGGGTCCATAATATCACCACCTTAAGAAATAGTGTGCTTAAAGATATTTTTACTGCAACATACCCTAGGTATGTACATTTGATGTGTGAAG